AGGGTTCAAGTCATTAAAAATTAAAAACACTGCTGGTCCTAACACTGACCCATTATCTTTTACTCAGTTCATTAACTTGGTAACTTTACCACAGTGGTGAAGGGCACCAGAATGCCAATAAATGCCACTCATTTTGTTGTCCTATCACCAACTTATTAAAATTTGTGCATGGCCATATATCAAAATATCTTGCTGTTTGTGATTGATTAATTTCAATTTTAAAAAATGTTATAAGACTTCAGCAATTTTTGAAGATAGTCTGCCTTGCACAAAATTAATGCTCAGTGAAAAAGCAATTGGAAATAGTGAAGGTCTATGGAAGCATATCAGCAGAAAAATGTAGCATGGTTTTTGCATACTGCAATTTGTGACTCACAACCAATGTTCCCTCTAAGCTGTGCCAAAGTTCTGTGCATGGCCATTGGCAGCATTGTCTTCCAATTCTGGAAGTTGCTGCTGCGCATGGACGTTAGAGATCCACACAGATGGAAAGAAAATTACCTTTGTAGATTTATTGTAATGGAAAGAATGGAAACTGAGTATCCTGACGTACACCAGGTTTTCAATGTTGTTAATGCCAGAACTCTGTTTAAAAGTGTGCTTGGGAAACATTTCACTGGATTTTCAGACTGACTTGTTGAAGTTAGACCATAAGGCCACAAGATCTTGGAGCCTAAGTTCACCATTCAGCCCATCGAGTCTGCTCTGCTATTCACTGAGATCGTGACTGATCTCATAATCCTCAACTCCATTTTCTGTGTTTTCCCGATGACCCTTGATTCTTTTATGGATTAAAAAATGTCTGTCTTGAATGACCTAATGAAGTAGCCTTTACAGCCCTCTGCAATAAGGAATTCCACACTCACTACCCTTGGAGAAGAAATTCTTCTTCGTCCCAGTCTTAAATGGGCGACCCTTTTCTTCTCTTTATTCATTCACAAGATGAGGGCATCGCTGGCTAGGCAGTATTTATTGCCCACCCCTAATTGCCCAGAGGGCAGTTAAGAGTAAACCACATTGCTGTGAGTCTGAAGTCACATGTAGGCCAAACCAAGTAAGGATGGCAGATTTCCTTTCCTGAAGGACATTGGTGAACTAGATGGAGGAACACAGCTGGCCTGTTGTGTTCCTCCAGCTCCCCAGACTATTATCTGGGTCTCTGGATCAACAGTCCAACAATAATACCATTAGGCCATCCCCTCCCCGTATTCTGAGATTATGCCCTTTGATTCTAGATGCTCCCACAAGGCAAACAACCTCTCAACATCTAAACAATTAAGTCCCAAAAAGAGTCTTGTATGTTTCAATAAAGTCAGCTCACTCTTCTAAACTGTAATATCTGGAGAACTGACCTACTCAATGTTTCCTCATAAGAAAGTCCCTCCATACCTCAGATCAACCTAGTGAGCCTTCTCTGGTCTGCCTCAAATGCCAGTATATGTTTTCTTAGATAAAGAAACTAAATTTATTGACAGCAATCTAGCTATGGTCTGACCAGTGCCTTGTATCCTTTTATAGACCATAAGACATTGGAGCAGAAATTAGGCCATTCGGCCCATTGAGTCTGCTCTGCCATTCAATCATGGTTGATAAGTTCCTCAACCCCATTCTCCTGCTTTCTCCCCATGACCCTTGATCCCTTTGATAATCAAGAACCTACCTATTTCAGTCTTAAATGTACTCAATGACCTGGCCTCCACAGCCTTCCTATTTTTTAATACCCCAGTCCCTTTGAAATAAAGGCTAACATTTCATTTGTCTTCCCTATCACTTGCTAAACTTGTATGCCAGCTTTCTGTGAATTATGCAAGACTCCCCCCCGCCCCACTCTAAAAATCCCTGTGCTGTAGCTCTCTGTAACCTTTCTCCATTTGGTGGAAGGAGTTAATGTTTGTGGATATAATGCCTTTGCTTTGTCCTGTACAGTGTCAATGAGTGTGTGCAATTAAATGATCAATGGATAAAATCTGCAGTCCTGCCAACTCCAGCAGTGAGTGACAGCGGACAACTAACAGGAGGACGAGCTCCACAAATATACACATTTTCAATGTTGTGACACCCCAGCATATTAGTGCAAAAAACAAGGCTAAAGCATTTGTGATTATCCTCAGCCAGAAGTTCCCAATTGATGGTACATCTCAGCCTCTTCTCCAAGGTCCCCTGCATGTCACATCCTTGTCTTCAATCAAATGAATTCACCCCATAGGATATCAAGACACAACTTAAGATATTGGATACTACAAAGACTGAGGCCAGCAACGGTTTTGAAGAATTGGACTCCAGGTTTAGTTGGTTCCTTAGCTAAGTCAATGAAAGCAAGACAAACCTGATCTTTGTCTTTTGATGGTCATCAAATGGAATCTTCTAGGGGTCCAGACCCTAACTAGCCTGAAGGCAGGCCTAACACCAGGTGTGAAAATGGAAGTGGGCCTAGTCCAGAGTGCACAGGTTAAAAGATCTGCCTATGTTCCCAAAAACTGTCATTCCAATGCTTACTATGCAGTCAGTTGCTCCTCTATATACTGTTGAAGCTTCTGAGCACTGTACAGTTCCCCCACTTCTACCCCACTCCCCAAGCACCTTACTCATTCACCCTAATCCCTGACTCCCATCCTCTAACCAGTACCCATTTTCTGAACAGAACTCAGACATTCCACTGTAACAGTTGGAAGCTGGTGAATAGCTGACTGCTCCCTAAGTCACCGAACAGATATTTCAAACAAAATACGTAAATAATGTCAAGCACTTTGCAAACCAATTTGGTACGTAGATTTCAGCCAACAACGAATAAAACTCACCAGGTGAATAAATAGACTTCAAAACTGCAATCTAAACAGCTATGTAGACTGAACTTATAAAATGAGGAAAAAAATTTACACTTGGCTATCATACTAGGTTACCCTTTAATTATGTAAAATGGGCTTTATTCAGTTAATGACTTTTCTACATTGGTCTTTATTTGACAGTTCCCATTTGGCAGAAGTAACAATGTGGCAAACATATTGGAAGATGTAACTACCCAGTAAACAATGAAAGCTCACCTTAAGGAACACAAAGATCTCATGCTTGTTACACCTCATGATGAATTGTAAAGAAAACAAAACTTTTCAAGCTCTTCTCATCTCCAAACCAAGTGTCATGCCTTCCAACAGCTGGTAGAGTCTTACTCTCTCCATGAAAAATAACGGACTTGGATTGGGCTGCCAATGAGTCCACAGTGATGTCAGTTGTATTTTTTACACACAGTATCTAGGGTCCAGATCCTTCCCCACACTATGGAAATAGCCAAGGATAGGAATGGAAGTTGGCTCATTTGATGGCCATGTTTGTCTGGGCTTACCTCCATTTGGTGCTGACTGGGACCATGAAAATCCAACCCCTTGTCTTTGAAACTTTAAAGGCTATCTATTTGTGCCAAAGATTTCAGAAAAGATAATTAACCCCTTACAAGCTACATATGCATGTTTACCAAATGTTTGCGCATTACAGACTCAAATCTTTCATTTCACAGCTCCCGAGTTATCATTACTGCTTCCGTAAAAAACCCCAGAATATATCACATTCTAAAACAAAATAAAACGCAGAGTAGAGAACCATATTAAACAAGAAACAAAGAGAGAGAGATTGGTTCAGTGAAACCAGGGCCTGGGCAGGACTGAATATACTGAGGCAGTTAGGTGTTGGACACTTCCAGCTCTTTTTTTTCTTATGATATATGCAGGATAGAAAACCAGTTTCATTTACACAAATGGCAATATGACAAATTCATAGCAGTTGAGCAACAGAGTCGCATATTTGCTGCAATATAACAAAAGATGGTTTTGGTACTATTGTTTTATTAAATTGTGGCTTTAACACTTGACGGTATCAGAACGTTGCAGGTGGGAATTCAGACCGTCCCTGCTGTAGCTACATTAACAACTGTATCACTTGAACATCTTTTAGGCCAGTCCCTCTTGGCTTATGATCTTCTTCCGTTTTATGCCCAAAGTCAGATCTGACCACTTCCCCACGACCTTCACCATGGGTAGGGCAAGGAGGCAGGTCCCGAATCCACTCCAGCCAAAATGGGGATCGAGCTCCATTATGTTGATACTAATCTAGTCAACACTGGCCACCCAGCTAACTGACCACCCTCCAAGGAGTTAAAGTGACAACGTAAAGCTTTACGTGCATGTTGCAGTCCAGATGTATGAATAGTGACGGTGGAGGCTCCCATCTGCTTTCCTTCACACAGCTTACCAGGAATCTCTCCGACTTTAACCAACTGTCATTGGCAAAGATTAGTAGAATTTAGAAGTGGATACTGAATCTGTTTGGTTGCGTATGAAGGCACCATCTTTGGCCATCAAGTACTCGAGTGTGACTTGAATCTCGGAACTTCTGGCTCAGAAGCAGGCATGCTACCCACTGTCTTTTCTTACTTTAAGGTTATTTAAGCATGGCACTCCACGAAGCATGCCATTAATAAACACATTGAACTCGACCCCATATACATTCCACTACAGAGGAAACCTGGAAGTGAGGCAATCCATCGCAACGGACCCCAGAGTTTAAAAAACCAGATGGGAAAACACACTGACGCTTCATCAGAGGCTGCACTGAGGATGTTACCAAGCACGGTAATGAAACGTCTGCAGAACAACAAACCAGCTCAGCGAGCCAACCAACCTCAACATCCACAACCCGAGCTACAGATCTACTCCAAGCCTTAAGGTTGTTTGTATAATTTCCAGTTGGAAAGTACTACTGAACTTTTGCAACAACCCAAGTTATCAACAGTCTCTGGAACGTTCAGTCATCATCTGACATCCTAAGAATGTTTGACCTGAAAGATAAAAAAAATACATTTCCTCCTCTGTTAATGAGTTACACTTCAAAAGATTAAATCAACATTAAAGGCCTTCTCTAATTCAGTGATCATGGAATGAAAAGGAATAAAATCTGAAAATAATGAAAATACAGATAGTTTCCAGCATTTTCTGTTTCAGATTTCCAGCATTTATTGTTATTGAACTCTTGTATAGTTAAGGACCTACTTTCAGTTCCAGGTCTATAACAAGTTTTAGTACTGCAGGTACAACTTATTTTCTATACTCAAATGAGAAATATGCAACAGTCTACATATATTCATGCTAACAATAAAGGTCTAAATATATCTTACGATATAAGCTTCTCAGGGGATTTTGCCTATACCGATTATGTCCCTTGATTGCATTTCTAAAGGTTCTCATCCACAAGTTGGAAGAAACACTTCTCATTCAGCACAATATATTGATGTTGTCAGAAAGTTCAAGAAATACTTGGCAAATTAAGTGATCAAGTAATACTGCATCCTGTAAAATTATGAATTTTTCACCTTGTCTGATTCTCTAAGTCTTTCATGGGTTTAAACATTTCTTAGTTGTTAATCGTACAGCTGTCATGGTTCAAACGGACATACTATAAGTCATCAACTCGTCCAAACATAAGGGTGTCCTACAATTTAAATGCAAAAAATGAACTGACATGATGGATATGCATTCTGATTAGATTTTTTGCTCTAGACAGCTCATTGTAAATTAATCACTCTCCTCTCTTGCCAGCAGCCAACAGTGTTCCATCATCCTTCTGAACTCACCATTCTTCAGATATGAGCGTCAAATGTGGCCTTTATACCACAGGGGGCCATTAGCTCAGCCAGCTAAATGGCTGTTTTGTGATACTGAGCGACACCAACAGTGCAGATTCATTTTCCGCACCAGCTGAGGTTACCATGAAGGTCCTGACTTCTCAACTGTGTTCCTCACCTTGTCGTGCTAATTCTCAGATTAAATTCACTACCAGTCGTCTCTGATGAGGGTAGCCCAATTGTTGTCTGGGATAATGACAACTTTACCTGTACCACAGAAAGCATCACAATCAAGGAAAATCCAATGTTTACCCAACATTCAAATGTGCGTAGACATTCACAAAAAGATCTTGGACTGCAATATGAAGGGGGAGCCATCTGAATTTTCTTCATTCAAGTTGCTTTGCCATTTGTAGTGTCCTTGTTGCTGCTATGAGATCACCTACTTCAGCAAAAAACAGGAATCAAAGCTTCTGGTTTGTGCAGCTATAGGTAGCCAAATATATACAGGATAGTGTCTAATCCAAGGCCGTGGAAAAAAAAAATTCTTCAATAAGCATTGAACATTGCTGTCAGGAATTAACGAATATTCTATTTTGGTTCAAACCTGTCGTCCTTATTTATCAAAATTTCTAAGTGACTCTGAACAGTACAAGCATCAGTTGGCTGAGAAACTTTCGATTTTATGATTCTACAATTGTCTCAGTGAGGCATTACTTCATTCACTGTGTTACTTAAATATATGCAAGCTCAAAGTTTGACCACGGAAAAGCCAAAAGAACAACAAAGTATTACAACGCTAATTAAATAGAATACATGCTCCCAGGGTTGTTTCTCCAATTTTGCTGTCTTCTGAATGAGTCAGTTTTACTTCTCAGCCTGTAATATCACAGTCCATTGCAACTGATGTTGATTTATTATGCCACTGACTTTGATTCCAGAAATGTAGATGCACGCAGCAGGTCTTTTGAAAGGCTCTCTTGTGCTTCATGCATACGTTGCTGCGCTCGACCAAACGCCTCTGAGTGGAAAAAAGACAAAGCATACAGTGAAAAAACTGAAAAATATGTTTGTTTATCTTTGCAAACAAAATTACCTTCCATCCAATCAGGGAGTAGCATAATGAGCTCAGTTATTCAATGAAAAGAAAAGTTGCAAACTGCCTCACTCCAATCTGAGGAGAGTTCTTTTAACTGTGTTGGTTCCGCTTTTCAAAATTCCCACACCAGCCCTGAACAGCCAGGGCAAAACGTTAATTTACCTCAAATTTAGGACATCAGTGTGCTGAGCCATTGGCTATAAGAAAGTGCATTGCTATTGCCTAAACTCATCTCTCTGGGACCAATGCTTCCGTGAAACTTTGTTATTGTGCAAAGCCCTTTCTCCCCGACAACGTGCAGCTTCTTTAACTGTTGTTACATAACCATGCACACATTACTTTGCACAAAAACTGATACCTTTCAGGCCTGCAATTTACAAGCAATAACGCATCAGACTCTTCCAATCAGCAGACAGCAGAGACTTCAGTCCCCAACAAAACTAGCCAGGACTCAATCTTCCATTCCAGACAGAATAGGCTAATTCATAATGCAATGCTCTATAAAGAGCCCAAAACCATCCCGCCTTACACCAAGGAGACAAAGACACCAAGGAATGCAGTGATGTGATAAGATAGCATTGACTACTCACAGTATAAAGATAAAGAAGAAACCAGCAGATACTCAAGCAGTAAGCAGGAATAAACACTACTGATCAAATGTTTATGTAACAATTTCCTGTCTAGCCTAAATGCACAGTATTGTAATATAGCTGCATATTAATGATCACATACCTATAACAGATTGGAGGGAAGCCTGATGTGAAAGTCCACCCATACGCTCCAGAACACTTTGTGATTTCTTCCTTGCCATGCTTGAATCAAGGAAAGACCTATCGAACACGACAACACAAACTCAATAGATTCATACACATCACAAAGTTCAGTCTAAATAAACACATCTCAAATTCATCACCCATTTTCTCAGTAGATTATCAGCAATGATAGTTACTTAAATGATATTACCAAATTAATGACAGCACTGGATTTTATTGTTCCTTGGCTACATTTTCTGTTCAATTTTCTCTTGGAAGTCACTATGCCACTCTAGGACATCTGGTTCTGACACTGTTACAGTAAGGATCAGATAAAGAAAAGCCTGTTGACTCTGTGGGTGCTGCTGAGTGTCTGCTCTATATTTTGATTCAAAGCAGAAATTAAGACTGGGCTACAAATTATACAGTTGCTCACCATCACAGTGCATACAGATATATGAATGAACTAAGGAAACATTCTGATGGGACAGCCTTTCAGTCTCACTAGTTTAGTTACCTTCTCTGCCAAAGCAGCAACTTCCTGGGCTACAATTCCACAACCTCGAGGATTCTTTGGCAATTTGGTGAAATGACCGTTCTTCATGTAAGAGTTGATGCAGCAAGTATAGGAGGATATTTGGTCATGGCTAACTATTAAAGCAGGCTTGTACTGCCCTCACCTGATAAATTCATACATTTAAGGGTACTGTAATATTGTGGTTATATCACTGGACTAGTAGTCCAGAGGCATGGATTAATAATCCAGTGACAGAATTTCAAATGATTCCAATGGCAGCTGAGCATTTAAATGGAGTTCATTAAATAAATTTGGAATAAAATGTAAACATCTGCAATAGTGGCCATGCATTTATTGGATTGTCATAAAGTTCTATCTGGTTCACTAACGTACTTTACTGGATTGTCATGAAGTTCTACCTGGTACGTACTTTAGGGAAGGTTATCAGCCATACTTATCAGGTATGACCTAAATGTGACTTCAGAACCAAAGCATTGTGGTTGACTAGCAAGCCACTCAAAATGTTTTCAAGAGGACGGCTCATTCCCACCAAGGCCAAGACAATTAGCAGCGGGCAAAATAATATTAGCCTTGTCTGCAATGCCATTGGTAAACATCACTCACCAGAACCAGTGATTCAAGTCACCCATCATGTCTGTCTGGTATTCATACATCTCTGGTCCACTCACCTGCACTGCTGCATGCAATTAAACCTCATGGTAACAGTTCCTGTTGTTTCGGTTCTGAAACCAAATCGACTCAATCTCTCTCCCTAAATGTAAAGAAGATAGTTTAATTGTATCTCAATCTTTGGTCTTTTTCCATAACATCCTTAATGTTTTACATCCTTCCTTTCTCGTCGTATTAATTGTTCAAATTTCAATCCTCCTCCATCCCTTCTTATCAACTGGAATTTATTGATCTAAAGGAGACAATAATTTAGTAGGGGCAAATAAAATGTTGTCCAAAGGTTTAGGCCAGGGTAGGAGAAATGAACATTTTACAGGAGCGTGGTTGCAAGACAGGAGAGAGTTACAAAGATAGAGAGAACTGAGCACACAAAGGGACTTAAACACACAGATGAGAATTTTGAATATATTCTAGTCAACCTGTTCAGAGACGTTATTACACACATCTGGAGAAAGCGGAGGGGGAGTAGAGCTGTTTGAGCCCAGGCCTTCTGTCTCAGACACAGGAGCACTACCACTGTGCCACAAAAGCCCAAGGTGAGAATTTTAAACTTAAAATGTTAGGGAATGAAGCTAACACAAGTCAATTAGGATAGGGGTGATGGGGGAGAAGAATTTCATGCATGAGAGGAGAGGATCAGAATTTTAAATCAGCCAAAATTTACTACAGGTGGAGGGTAAATATTTGCCATCTGTAGAAGGGCCTGTGATTTTGTTTTAAAAAGGCAGGAATTTGCCTCATTACAACAATCAGGTGACCCTATATAATTAACGACAAGTTGTTGCTTCAACTTTCCATTTGACTTCACAGACATCGATTGTACCACTGGAGTTGAAGGATTCTGTTGTGATAGCAGTTACTGAAATGGAAACCTTTGCTTAGCACATCAGAGTTTACTGTGAAGTAAGTCCAGGGGACGAATAGTTTAAATGATGTAGAGGCACCACCCTCGACCAGCCACTGCAGTCCTGACTACGAATTTGCCAGTTGAGGTTATGCTAGTTTTTCAGCTAACCTGTTTAACTGATGCCAAAATCAGAAATTGCTGGAACTGAGAAAGGATCACTTGACCTGAAATGTTAACTCTGATTTCTCTCCACAGATGCTGCCAGACCTGCTGAGCTTTTCCAGCAATTTCTGTTTTTATTTCTGATTTACAGCATCCACAGTTCTTTCAGTTTCTTTTTAATTGGAGGTTGTTCCAGCTACCCACCAACACATTTAGTTTTGAAAGCTCAATGCAACGCAGGAGGCAAGTCAAGGGATCATTAGAATAAATAAGGTCGTCAGAAAATGACAAATATGATTAAGAGTTTCAACAAATATAAGTAGAGATGAATGTTGTTATGAAGGTGTAAGGGGTCATTTTTGTAATATGGAGCTCAGCCTGGAATCAAATACAGTGAGCAGAATGCAAAAACTTGCTTGTTTTATAAGATTTTTTAAGTCTCTGGTTGAGAAAGGAGATATAGTAATTGGCAAGTTGACGGGATTAATGGTCAGAGAAAATGTTGCCGCCTCCAATTTTAACTTTTCTTCAAGACTACTAGATATGCATTGGGAAGAAGTATGGTGCACAAGTGGAAGTAGTGGTTTAGAGATGGCACAGAATCAGAGGAAACAGGACATGGAGAAATGGCGCCATGAATATGGAGCTGCTCAGCGGTCAAGACAGGAATAGATAGAGGATGTTTTGGGAAGAAGTACGGGTAGTCTTGGCGAGGACAGACACTGAAGATGTTAAAAGAGGTGAGAGAGATGGCATAAGGTGAGAAATGTGAAAAGCAGAAGTTACTAAAGGAGACAGAGTAAGGCAATGGTAGTGTGGTATCATAGGAGGTGGAACAGAAGGCCAAGCAGTGGGATTTCTGTAATGAGCCAAAACAGCCTCGCCAAGTACCTAACTTGTACCTCATACTCAAGTTCCATATTTGTATCTGAGACAGGTATGTTACTACAGTAGTGGCACATTTTTATATCTTGTGTTTCCAGCTCTGGCAGGCACTCTTCCCAACCCCAACAGTAAGTAGATGATCAGCATTCAAGATCAGATTTATCCATGTGCAGCTACCCACACAACAAGCAAGCTGGTTGCTGGAGGACCACAAGATCTCCATCTTACGTCTAATCCATCACACAACTTAGGACTTCCCCTAGCAAAATACCTTTAAAAATATCATTTTATCAGAATCGCCCCTTTTCTTCCCCTTCGTTCCTCTTCCTCCCTTTTCACCCTTCCCCTTCTTGATGTTCATTAACTTTTAACATTTTACTTTATCTTCTCTCCTGCTTTTCTCCACTCTGTTAAACATCTTTGAATTGTTTTATTCCTTATTCTCCTTCCCAGTCACCTTCAAAGTTCTTGTTTTTTTTTAAGACTTTACCCAGTTACCTCATGTGCCTAGACTTTGATAAAACTTTTACTCATGCTCAAAGATTTGCACAGACTCTTTTTTCATTGAAATCCATGCATGATTCAAACTGTAATGGTTGAAAATGCCATCAAGGCTTGGAGCTGATTAATAAAGTAGAGAAAAGGAAAACTAGTAGTCAGATATTTGGCAGAAGCAGACCAGCAGTCCAAGATGGAAATAGGCTTTAGCAATTGAATGCAGCTTCCCTGGGACCAATCAAATTGATGACCTGTGTTTACTTAAAACCAATCAAGTCCAGAGATTAGTTTCACACTGACAGACTGGAATTTTTTACTAGATTTTTCTCTTAATTTTTTGCAGTCATTTTCTTCCCTTTTCCATTGAAGTCCCCATCTGCCTTTGGGTACGACATTCAAATAGCAATTCAATATTTGAGAGCCATGATTACAGACATCCACCAAGTCAAACCTGGTCTATCCACTGACAACCTACAATGATGCTTTCTCCAGCAAAGATTGCTATGCAGCAATCAGGAGCAAGAAATCAAGCTGATTTTGTTTCTCTTTCTCAATTAGGAGACAACACCAACTGAAGTTGCACAAGCAAAAGTCTGGCTGAAATTTGCTGGTGCAGCATTGGAAGAGATTCAAACTAGGATCTTCCTGTTCTTCAATGCAGTACCACACAACTTGAACTTACAATTCAAGTGATTAGGGTGAGGCAGGGCACCTTTTACAGCCAAACATTTCACATCACCTCCAGTAATTTTCATGGCTACCTTGAATGTGCTTGGGGTACGGATGTATGTCATATCTTCCAGTTCGAGGAAGCCACCAACAAAAAATCTCCGCATTTCTGCCACAGTTCCAGGGACAATGGGTCTCCAGGTCTGACATGTGAGTGTGTAGCTACCTGAAAATTAAAAAAAAAATTACACGATTCAACAAAAAGCAAACAAGTAGGCCAGTGAGTAACTTTAGCTATTAACAACTCAATTCTGGTACCTAGCTTCAATTCTAGCACAGACATAACGATGAAAGGGTCTAACAGTAAATGAAACAAGAGACTGAAAATATAAAGTAGAAATACTGGAAAAGTATTCTGGTTGCAGTGGTCTTGGGAAATATCCAAAATGTGAATGCATTACTTTAGATTTTGACAAACTATCAATAGGAGTTCAATTTGCAGTCACAAACCAAACCACACTCACATCACAAGATTACCAGAAGATAACCAATTTTTAGAGTAGATTTGTAGCTTGGGTTGTGGATGTTGTGGTTCGTTGGCTCGCCGAGCTGGTTCGTTGTTCCGCAGATGTTTCATTACCCTGCTGGGTAACATCATCAGTGCAGCCTCCAATGAAGCGCTGTTGTGTTTTCCCGCCTGTTGTTTGAACTCTGGGACAAGCAAAGCAGAGACAAGCACCAGAATTCCTAGAAGCCTGGTACTCCACTGAGAAAGCCATCAATAAATACATAGAGCTCGACCCCATATACACTCCACTGTGAAGGAAAACCAGAAGTGAGGTAATCCAGCCCGACGGACACCAGAGTTCAAATAACAGGTGGGAAAACACAACAGCACTTCATCGGAGATAGCAGGAACTGCAGATGCTGGAGAATCTGAGATAACAAGGTGTAGAGCTGGATGAACACAGCAGGCCAAGCAGCATCAGAGGAGCAGGAAGGCTGACATTTTGGGCCTAGACCCTTCTTCAGAAAATGGGGTCTAGGCCCGAAACGTCAGCCTTCCTGCTCCTCTGATGCTGCTTGGCCTGCTGCGTTCATCCAGCTCTACACCTTGTTATCTCAGCACTTCACCGGAGACTGCACTGATGATGTTAACCAGCAGGGTAATGAAACGCCTGCGGAACAACGAACCAGCTCAGTGAGCCAACCAACCACAATAATCATTTTTCTTCAATCTCAGTTAGAGATCACAGCCAAGGAGTTGTGAGAAACCAAAACACACCACATTGACTTAGGTGGGAATGTGCTTCTAAGGTAGAGTACAAGGAAAGCAATTGAAGGCAGAGATTAAAGAAACTTCATTTTGCATCGAACTGTGCTGAGTGAGTCTTGAAACTTTTCAGTACTAACAGTAGATAATAAAAAGAAAAATGTCCCATTCTCCAACAGAGTCACTAGATGTGCATTGAAATATATAATGTTTATTAACCTGAATTTTTTCCTAAAAATTGTAATGGTCATTTAAGATAATTCATCCTTTAAAGAATACCCTTTCCAGGTGAGGAAAGAACACTGCAATCATGACTCATTGGATATTAGAATATGCTTGTTGTGCTTTTGCAAACCAGTTGCTGAAAATCTAGCTGCTATTATATATTTTGTTTCAATTATTTCCACCATATAGACTTGATGGAAGATAGATTGTGCATTGGGTTTGTTACCTCCACCCCTGAAGGTGGGTGGTTGTAATGTTTTTGTTTTTTCATCTGTTAACAATATATCACAAAAATTAACTTATAGATTTCAACAAAGCTTGGTAAATGGATGGGTGTGCCCTAAGAAAGAACTGATTTATTATTGGCAAAGTAGTAATTCTGGAAATTGTTTGAAAGACCCATGAACATTAGGAAATAGGGAAAATTAATTTTTTAAAAGAACATTATGAATTGTTTCAAAATGTTGTGTCTCAACTGCAGTGCAGTATTTCATTACTACTGTCAAAATGTGAACAGAGTCTTCAGGGCAGGTTGTTAGATGTGGTCTGGGCTGAAACCTCTTCAGTGAGATGAAAGTTCTTAATAAAATGATTTATTTCTTCAGCTTTGTAGTTACAGAAGGAAGCCACAGTGGTACATACTATGGGAACAGAAGCAAGTGAAGTGGAATGGAGGTTGCCTGAGCATGGACTATAGAATGTCACCAGAAAGAAACTGTCCAATATCTCAGGTGAAGATTGTAATAGAAAGTTCAGAGTTGTGAAGGTAAAGGAGCTCAAAGACTTTATTTCAAAGCCTAGGACAAACTTAGCCATAGAAATGCATCAATTTGCCTTCAAATGTGATCTCAAGTGGGATAGGAATATGGCTAGCTTTGCTTTCCTTCTTGCGATTGTACTCATGGAAGTCACAGGAAGACCAAACCAGCCTGGTTCAGATTTTTCCAATAGCATCTCAACACTCATTGACCAGGTTCGCATTAAGAATGACCAGACAAGCGTGGCAGAAGACCACTGTGGGCAACCATGAAATTGTTTGCCATCAGAAATTTGTGCTAAGAAGCGTGGAGGGGAGACCACTGGTGAATTAAAAAACACTCAAAAACAGTAAATGTTACAAATCAGACAAGTTTGGAAATATTCAGCACTTGTGGAGGGACAGATCAGGTTTAAGTTTTCTTCAGAGCACATATCTTGCCAGTTGTCTCCGTGCTTGCTAATTAATTTGCTGAATGTGACAGCTTTTTTGATTTTGGTTCTAATTAGAGATATTTTCTTACCAGGACTGTCTGGGATTCTGATATAACCGTATCCCTCAATGCGATGTCTTTGCCAGAAATCAGAAGAATGAACCCCAAAGTAAAGCACAGGCCATTGTGGAAGGCAACCTAAAAAAAAAATCCGGAAAATATCAGATTAATAACAGTACTTAAACATTTTGCACTATTACTGACAGGGTATTGTTAAGATGCTCAGATACAGTAGAATTATATTCAAGGAACTGGATGTATTGAGACGCAAGAGATTCTTACACAAAGGACTGGGAAGAAAATAGGTACAGCTGAGCTTCATGTAAGGAAATAGGGTGAATAATTAAACATATAACCGAAAAAAAAACTTTTGGTTGCATTATGAAGTAGCTATAGGTATGTGCTCATTTGGTTTGGAGGATGTAGGCTAAAGAGAGGCATCCCTGCGTCAAGGGATAACACAGTGTGGAACTGGAGGAGCACAACAGGCCAGGCAACATCAGAGAAGCAGGAAAGTTGATGTTTTGGGTCGGATCCCTTCTTCAGAAATGAAATTCTGAAGAAGGGTCCCAACCCGAAACGTCAACTTTCCTGCTCCTCTGATGCTGCCCGGCCTACTGTGCTCCTCCAGCTCCACAGTGTGTAATCTCTGACTCCAGCATTGGCGGTTCTTACTATCTCTGTGTCAAGACTAATTTTTAAATCATCACTGGTAATGAAAAGAGGGAGAGAAAAGCAGGAGTTAGCACTTTTAGGAGATTTGGACTGGGAAGATATTGGAAAAGACAACTTTTACTTTCACAGTTATCTTACCTCTAATTATCGGAGAGTCTTAGACAACATTTAACCTTACAATCACAGTTGTATCATGACCAGAAGGTTACCTCAGATGCTGACACAGATGTAATAAGTATACCCCCAATCCATTCACATACGGTGAATATTAAATGCTAGAATATAGTTGTTTTTAAAGAGTCCAATCCACACTTATAGTAACAGCTTTATTTCAGGTAGCCACATTCCATGAAACTCTGCTGCCACTGATCACCAGCTCCCCATGTTTTTACAAACAATTCACACCCAGTTTACCCTTAATTAATATATCCATTATCTATTCTCAAATTCCATTAGGTCTCGGGCATTCCTTCAGACGAATTAGATAACAACAGATTTCTCTTCTCTTTTCCTTCCTAACTAAATCAATATATATACACAACAATAATAAAACAGACAAAGCATATAAAATCACAACACTTATTCTTGTGTTTTTCTTTGCACTTTAAAGTTCTGGTACATCCAACAGTTTCTTAGAATTTGCTTTTTTATTTGCAAAACAAACAGCTGATTGCTGCTATTCACCCATTTCAATTTAGAGATCTCTCCGTTCTTCACTATCTGCTTAAAACTGCAGTCGTGATCCTTGGTGTTTTCATTCAAAAATTTTGTTCAGCGTACATTCTCCCATGGTGACACATTATCGATGTAGCCCTCAATGGGTATTATTGCTGAATCCCTTTCTAGAATTTCTTCCAAAATTTTTGCTTACAAAAAGGCTATACAGTGGTATCTACTGTCTCACCATGAGTGACAGATTTTGTCGCCAAGGTACGTTTTATTACTGTTTCAAACCTTTTTAGCTTCCCAAATTAATTGGTAACAGATACCTCCCTTTCCCAAAAGAAAAATTATAAACGTTCCTTCACTTGAGAACCCATTCACAGAGACTTGCAGAAGAAGCATCACACAAAAAAAAAAATCAGGTTTCATGTTCCTGACATTTCTCAGTGAAGGAAATTTCAAAACACAATACTTTATTTCTAATTTTTTCAATGTTTTGCTTGGCTAAATAACATCTACCCTCTTGGGATTTTTCACAGTCATACTCAACTGTAACACTTCCAAATTGGCATCTGGCCTTGTTTGGATGACCAGCAATTCAGTTGTCCAATCAGACTTCATAATTCCTCTATTTCAGTTTTGGAAGCTGCTGCATCTTTTTGTGAACCACTACTTTGACTAACAGCAATGGGGCTAACATTTTCCAAATGAGATTGCTAATACAATGTGACAACCGATCCTTTGTGCTCAGTTTCTAACCTAACGTACATAAAAGCACCCAGAAGTCTGATTTTCAATTTCGAATTCTGTTTTAAACCCATCGATGACGACATTATCAAACTCACTGCTCTCACAGTGCATCAACGTACATTATGAAAGTGCCTGAAATCTGCCCCTCATGGTATAAGTAAAACATTGCAATGTCTGCTTTTAATTGAGGACAGCCCAATTTAACTAGACGACCCTTACTGAAAAGAAGTATTAAACTCTAGTCATCATTTAGGTCATGTACACAATTATTTTACTTCCAGAGTATCCCCACTGTGGAAACATCCTCTTTAGGTTTTCTGAAGGGTCCAGACCCGAAACGTCAGCTTTCCTGCTCCTCTGATGCTGCTTGGCCTGTGTTCATCCAGCTCTACGCCTTGTTATCTCAGATTCTCCAGCATCGGCAGTTCCTACTATCTCCTCTTTAGGTTTACTTTGTTAATTCCCTTTAGCATCTTAAGATACCTCAATAAGATTAATCGATCAATTAGATCCCCTCTTATTCTTTAAAGCTCTAGAGAGTACAGGCCTTAACTGCTCAATCACTTCACAAGAAAAGCCTATCTCTGAAATCAATCTCATGAACCTCCCCTGAAATGCCTCCAATTCAATTACACCTTCTCAAGTAAGAGGACCAAAATTGTGCACATTATTCCAGGGGTAGTCTCATTAATGCCTTCAACAGTTGCAGCAACACTTCCCAATTTTAACACCCATCTCCTTTAGCAATAAAAGCCATAATTCCTAACCCGCTATACCTTCGTTCTAGTTTTTCATATTAAATATTAAAGAATATTAAAAAAAAACTGATGTGGACTGTTATTTTCCAACTACTATCATCTGCTATCAATGTTACACACTACATGCTTGTTGTTTTTAACCACAGCGCTTTATTTCAGTTAACCATGTTCTATAATATATACACACCACTGACTAATAGCTCCTCATATTTATATAACCAATTCAGACTCAATTTATCCTTAATTCAAATATCTCAAAGTTCAAGCAATTCCTCAAGAGTACCAAGAGACATAACAGAAGAGATAAAGTCAGCAGTGTCTGAAGTACTTCCTATTCTTAAGTTCAATGTCACAATCAGCTCATAACACTACCCATTGATATAATATTGTGAAGTTATAGGGAACAGCTAGGCACCCTGTATGTGTTTCATTGGGCACATTTGTAGTATACCCCTGTATTAAAAAAGAGTAACACTAATGTGAAAAATGATTTACCAGTTATTAGTAGTAAAAATGTATGTACTCATGCATGCAGAAAATCTCATGTAGTATCGGAATGGCAAAGTCTTGTTTGATAGGTAATACTTGCGAGCAGGTATCTTGAATTGTGGATCCTCTTACACAGCCGAAGACTACTTTGTTTGCTGATCATTAAACCCTTTAGTCTTTGAGGTTCAGTCTCACTCAAAATTTTCTTCTTCGATCTTCTTCAGATTCTCCAATATTTTTAGCCCAATATCTGGGTGGCACAGTGGTTATGGGCAGCATGTTGACTCAGTGGTTAGCACTGCTGCCTCACAGTGCCAGGGACCTGGGTTTGATTCCACCCTCAGGCGACTGTCAGTGTGGAGTTTTGCACATTCTCCCCGTGCCTGCATGGGTTTCCTCCGGGTGCTCCAGTTTCTTCCCATTCAAAAGATGTGCAGGCTAGGTGTATTGGCTACGCTAAATTGCCCTTGGTGTTCAGGGATGTGTCGATTAGGTGGGATGCTCTGAGGGTCGGTATAGACTTGTTGGGCTGAAGGGCTTGTTCCCACACTGTAGGGAATCTACGATCCCTGATCCACAGCTGAGATGACAATATGTATCTTACAACAGGGATATATGGAAAGTATACTGAAAAGAAAGGTCGGTCAAAATTACAAACTCCAACGTACATACGATTATATCACATTCAAATAATAGCAGTTTGGATGCGGTACATCATTACTTCAGGCCCTGTGAAATTGTAAGGCAATAGGAGACAAAAAAAAAGAGAAGTGACAGGAAAAGAAAATCTATACATGAGTTGTTTAGACAGTTACTCTCATTCATTTCATATTTATTAATACACGCTATCTGTATTACTCTGAGCACATTGTGGTTAATACTCTGGCACAGAGAATGGTTAACTGCAACAAATTCCAAAGTAAGTAATTGGATAGTCCAACCTAGGAAGACTGTTGCTTCATATCTCATGCCAACTACACCAATCTTTCCCTGATTATGCTCGTCCGTGCTAAGGGGAAGTGTATAAAGTGGGAAGCACAAAGTCATTTTAAAAATGCTTTATGGGATTTGAGTATTATTAGCAAAGCTAATACATATTGACCATTCCTAATTATTCCTTGACAGGAAGTCGCAATGAGCCACCTTCCTGAATTGCTGCAGTCCATCTGGTGTGGGCACCGCCACAGTGCTATTTAGAAAGGGAATTCCAAGATTTTCAATCTGATATAGTTCCAAGTCATGGTGGTGTATAGCTTGGAATGGACTTGCAAGTGATGGTGACATTCCCATGCATCTGTTGCCCTCATACTTTGAGGTGGTAGAGGTCACAACTTTGGAAGATGCTTGAAGGAGCCTTAGTGAGTTACTGCAGTGCATCTTGTAGATGGTACACAGTGCTGCTACTAAGCATTGACGGTGGACAGAGTGAATTCTGAAAAGCGACTGTTAAGCTGCCAATCGAGTCAATCAAGTGAGTTACTTTGTCCTGGATGCTGTTGGAACAGCACAAATCCAGGCAAGTCAGGAATGTGCATTCCATCACACACCTGACTTGTGTCTTATAGATAGTGGAGAGGCTTACAGAGTAAGGAGGTTACTTACTTGCCACAGTTTCCAGTTCCTGACCAACTCTCCTAATCAAAGATTTTGTATGGTTCCGCTTCTAGTCAGGGGCAACCCACTGATGTTGATATTGGTATTGGGTATTCAGCAATGGTAACGCTATTGAACATCAAAGGGAAGTAATTTCTCCCTCATTGAAGATGGTCATTGCCGGGCACTTGTGTGTAACTTGCCAACTGTCAGTCGAAGCACGGATGCGATCCAGGTCTTGCTGCATATGAACATGGTCTACTTCAGTCTCTGAGAAGTTGCAAAAAGTGACCATTGTCCAATTATCAGCAAAAATCCCCATTTCTGACCTTATGATGGTGGGAAGATCAAGTCCTTGAAGATGGGTGGGCATTGAATACTACCTTGAAGAACTCCTGCAGCAAAATTCAGGGGATGGGATGATTGGCCACCAACCATTACAACCAGTTTATTTTGTACCAGATATGGCTCCAAATAATGGAGAGTTTTTCTCCATTCCCACTGCTTTAAATTTTGTCAGGTTCCTTGATGCTATACTTGGTCAAGTATCACCTTGATATCAAGGGCAGTCACTCTCACCTCAGGGATTCAGCTATTATGAGTGAAGAGAAACAAAGAAGATAAATGTAGTCCTTCACAGTCAAAAACAGGGGCATGTTACAATGGGGAACAAAGAGATGGCAAACCAATTAAATACATACATAGTTCTGTCTTCACAAAGGAGGACACAAATAACCTCCCGAAAGTGTTGAGGTAGACAGGGTCTAATGAGAAGGGGGGATCTGAAGAAAATCAGTGTTAGTAAGGAAATAGTATTGGGGAAATTGATGGGATCAAAAGCTGATAATCCTCAGGACCCAATAATCTTCATTCCACAGTGCTTGAGGAATTGACCTAGAAACTGTGAATTCATTGATGGTCATCTTTCAAGATTCCATAGATCCTGGACCAGTTCCTATGGATTGGAGGGTTACTAATGTAACCCCACTATTTGAAAAAGGAGATGGAGCGAAAACAGAGAATGAGAGACCAGTTAGCCTGACATCAACTGCGGAGAAAATGCTTGAGTCCACTAATTGATTTAATTTGATTTAGTTATTGTCATGTGTATTTTGTTACAAAATACAGTGAAAAGTGTTGAGTTGTGTACTGTCGCCACTCTCCGGTGCCATCTTAAAAAACAGAAAAATAAACTATAACATAGAACATAAAGTCAGAAAAATGAAGAAATAAAGAAAAATTGTTCAGCTTCATAGTCCTTCTTGTTAAGTGCCCAGCCATAAGCCATGGGCCTGGTGGCTAGGTACAAGTCCCCTTCGTGGCACCGCTGTAACGAAAGTCGCCACTCTCCACCAACACTCTCACCACTGAGTGCTCAATCATGCCAATACACGTGCCAGCGATGTCACTGGGTACAGCAGTGACGCAAACTCAACTCCGCTGCCACCATGATTCTGCTTTGGGCCCACCTCAACAATGCAGCTGTTGCTGATGTCACCAGGTCTTGTACTGGGTCCAAAAACTTGCCTCCGCCGCTGCCTTCGTGAATCTACAATGAATGCAGATGCCCCCAGGAGCCCAAACTCGCCTCTGCCACAGCAGCCACGAGTCACCGTTAGGACAGCCTTGACGATGCAGAAGCCGCTGGGAACACAAACTCGCCTCTGATACCACTGTTACAAGTCCGCACTGTTGGGCCTACTTGCCGCCACCGATGCCTTCGCTGAGACAGAGATCTTCAGCAAAAGGTAAGTAAAATAAAAGAGAAAAAAAAAAGACACTAAACAAAACAAAAAGCATACGGAGTGAACGAGCCCCAGATTCAGAAGCTCTATTCCACCACCATCTTACCGGCAGGATGGAACTCAAGTCGGCAGATTGGGAGGTTTTGTAAACACATTGAGAACAATTTAAAGCACAAATGGGAAATTACTGTTGTGGCATATAAATAATTTAAATAGCACAGAACTTGGAAACAGTGACAGGATCAGGCAGAGTCAGTATGGGAAGAGAAAGTCATGCTTGATAAATCTACTGGGGATTTCACAGAAACATATAAAACTCAAACAGAATTACTTCGGTTAAATGCAAGATGTTCCTGATGACTGGGGAGTCCAGAAACAGGGGTCACTGTCTAGAGATAAGGGGTAGGCATTTAGGGCTGAGACAAGGAGAAATTTCTTCACTGTGGTGAGATTGCTGAATTCTCTGCCACAGAAAGTGATTGAGGTCAAAACACCAAATGTTTTAAGAAGGAATTAGATACAGTTCCTAGGGCTAAAATGATCAAAGTATATGGGGAGAAAGAAGGAGCAGGGTACTGAGTTGGACAATCATATTACCATGACAGAACATAGAGCCATCATCATACTGAATGACGGAGCAGTTCAAAGGGCTGAGTGGCCAATTTCTTTTCTTTTTCGTTTCTATGTTTCTTATGTTTAGGTTTTGACCAAGGTTGTAATGAAGTCAGCAGCCATTCTGGTGGAATCCAGTGTTGGCAAACAGGTTATTGCTTTCTAAGTGTCATTTCAAAGCACAGTCAACAACCCCTTCCATCACTTTGCTCAGGGCGGTAATTGGATAGGTTTGATTTGGTCTGCTTTTTGTAGACAGATATACCTTGACAATTTTCCACATTGCTGTGGAAATGCCAGTTTTGAAGCTGTACTGCAACAAGACTCTAGAGTATGGCTAGTTCTGGAACACAAGTCTTGAGTACGATTGCTGGGATGTTGTCAGGGCCGTAGCATTGCCATACACCAGTGCCTTCTGCTGCTTTTTGATGACATGCAGTGAAAAACTAATTGACTAAAGATTGGCATCTATGGTCTTAATGACAACTGGAAGAGGCCAACATGGATTATCCATTCAGCACCTGTGACTACACTGGGCTTCCCCATCGAGGATGGAGATTTTTGTGGAGATGTCTTCTTCAGTTAGATAAATAATTGTCCACCAGCATTAACGAATGGATGTGGCAGGTCTGCAGAACTTAGGTATAATTTATTTGATTTGGGATTGTTTCACTGTGTTTACGGGATCTCGGTTCCACTATTTGACATCAAGCAGTCATGTGTTGTAGCTTCACCAGCTTTACACTTATTTTAGATATACTTGGCACTCCTCATGGCATGACTTTCTGAACTCTTCATTGAACGAGGGTTAATCCCCTGGTTTGACTGTAATGGTAGAATGCAGTTATGCCAGGCCAAATTGTGGTTGTAGATAATATCGTGCTGCTGATGGCCCACAGTGCCTCATAGATGCTCATTTTCACACGGTAAATCTGTTCAAAATCTATTCTGTTTAGCCTGGGTAGTGGTAATCCCATACAACACATTGGAGGGTAAGGTCAGTCTTCACAAGGATTATGAGGTGGTCACTCCTATTTGTACAGTCTTTGACAGACATATCTGCAACAGGTAGATAATGAGAACAAGTACTAATAGGTTTTCCCTCTTGTTGGTTTTCTCATAACTTGCTGCAGACATAATCTAGCAGCTATGTCCTTCAGCACAGGTCAACTTAGTCAGTAGTACTACCACCAACCCACTCTTTGTGCTGAAGATATGCATCCCTCACCCAGAGCATATTCTGCGCTTTTTCCACCCTCTGTGCTTCTCAACATGAAAGAGTACGGATTCATCAGCAGAGAGAGGGCAGAGGGTGATAACAGTAGTTTGCATTTTTACTCATGTTTGACATGATGCCGTGTGATGCCATGAGACTTCACATGTTCCAGAGTAAACATTAAAGACCTTCCTGCTCCTCTGATGCTGCTTGGCCTGCTGTGTTCATCCAGCTCTACACCTTGTTATCTCTGATTCTCCAGCATCTGCAGTTCCTACTATCTCTGAAACATTAAAGACTCCCAGACCAAGATCTTCCTAAATATAAATCACAGTGCCGTCACCTCTTAGTCTGTCCTGCCAGTGGGACTAGTAGTATTCAGGGATGATGATTGTATCTATGGAATTGGCTGTAATGTATGATTTTTCGAGCATGCTTCCATCAGATTGTTGCTTGACTTGTCTTTGTAGCTTAACAGGTTGCAGTTGCCATTGTTGTTTCCCAAGCCTAATTGGATGCCAGGTAGCCTGTCCATTTTATTCCTTGGTGACTTTTCTGAACCAGTTTGGTACAATTGAGTGGTTTGCTGGGCCATTTCAGAAGACGGTTTAAAGTCAACCGCTTTGCTGTAGGTCTGGAGTCAGGTGGAGGCAGACCAGGTGAGGACGGCAGATTGGGCCCTCCAAGGGACATTAATAAACCATATGATTTCATGGTAACTGCTCCCAGCTTTCAATTCCGGACTTTGGTTCATTTATTGAATTTTCCACCACCACCACCTGGGGCCCTGTTATTACAAGACCCAGTAAAAAAAAAAAAAAAAAAACCTTGGAACAAAAGCTGATGTCCGCCACCCCTCCCAACTTTCACCCAATCCCAGTCATTCCCAAACGAGAAAATCTGAAGGCCAGCTACTCCTCGAACAAAGCTCTTTACAATGGGCAATTTTGTAATAGCAACAGAAGTTCAAATATCACTATCTCAGGCACATGGATTATGGGAAGAATGAATTGGGAACTGGGAAAGAACTAGTTGGACTGGGACCAGAAAAGAAAGCAGAGAGCTTCCGTATCGATGTATAAAACACATGGCATTCTGTAAGTCTAGAGGCAGAGGAAAACCCTTAATTTCTCAAACAAATTTGAATGCTTCTGTAGATGGAATTTCTGAGTTCCTGTATGATTCAGAGGGCCTTCTGACTTCAAAACAGAAATTATAAACTCACCCTCAGGTTGATCTTCACTTTTTAATGTCATTTCAAAGTCGAATGGATATGAAAAATAGGCCACATTCTCCTATTTAAAATAATAACAGTAATTAGACACAGTGCCTGTCAGCACTGATGTTCAACACTTTAAGAACTGGCTTGCATTCACCTTCCAGTACCTAAGATTTTCTGCTAAAACTGAAGTACACTGAAATTTATTACAAAACATTCCTTTTAAATCTGTGGGGTATGGCACGTATATGTTTTTAAAAACTGTTGTGCAGATTAGATGTCTAAAGTCTTGGCTGTGCCTCACTAATAGCTCTGAAACAGAAGTGGTAAAATCACAGTAGAAGCCAGTAAAGTCTTCACTTGTTAAAAACAAAAACCCAGAAATTTACTGGAAGAATGAAGCCACCAGCTGCCCGATTTCAAATATTACAGAATATGAATACAACAACTTCAATCTGCTTTAAGCAGTCAGTTACATTAAAAAATATTAAAAGTACAATAAAACAGATACTTGTACTTTAAATCAAACTGAACTCAACATTCTAAATCAATTTGGCTTTCACTTCCAGTTCATGTCAGGAGCTTATCAAAAAGTGCACGATTCCCTACTAAATACTGTTTCAAAGATCCATAAATGAGCTGAAATACCTTGGGTTCTTGCACTTACCTCTAGTGAGGTTGTTCTTTCAAATCTCCTCCAACTGTCCCACTATTGTAGGCTCTCTGTACAGCACAAGTGTCTTAAAAGACCTTGATTCAGGACTCTGCTGGTTATACTATTTTCTAACTCTGAATTCTTGCATTTAAAACTCTGTACCTTAATTTTTCTCTTCCCAGCCTTGGGTATCTAGAAGTCTAATTTACTGTTAGGAGTCCTTCAGTTAACAAGAGGTTGAAATTCTTTCAACCAGCACACAGAATTTCAACTGAACTTTGCTCAAAAAAAGATATTTCCTGCAGCTAGCTTATTCTAAAATAAAAAAAAAGTAAAACCCTGCTTGAGATCAGAGACATACAATCTGTGTGTAAAAGAGGTTGCTGTAAAACTGTATGTTGGATTCCATCGCCATCTCGAACTGTGCTCCTGCAGATGCTCAATCAAGAGGCTACTTTCGCCACTCACCGATCTCAGTCGTTATCAAACACGATCTCACAACTTGGCGTAGTCTGCAGGATCACTGGGGACACCATTGAGACTGACCAGTCATTGACACTACTCTGAAGGTAAGAAACTTCCTTCTAGACATCCCTAGTCATGAACACGATCCCGAACCTTCCATGAGTTGGCCATTTTTTGAATTCCTTCACATCCAGATCTCAAGTGCACCAAATCAGCCGAAATTACGTTCCCTATGACGTGAGTATTCGGGGGACTGAGTGATCTCAGTAAGCTGCCTACAACCTCCAAAGGCAGGCCAGCCCCAGCTGACATAACAGAGGAAGAAATGCTGTGGTAGTTACAAAACTACCTTGAAGTACAGTTCTCGTTAGGGAAAACCCAAACCAAAATCTGGCAGAAATACAATATCCATGACATAAAACAGGTCTAGGGAAAAACCACCTGAGAGAAAGATAAGGTCAGAACGAAATGGTCCTTTGCAGTAATGGGACAAATTTCCTTGAGGGATGAAATCATGTCTCGATCATGATCGTGAATTAGAACATAGAACAGTACAGCACAGTACAGGCCCTTTGGCCCATGATGTTGTGCCAAACTTTTACCCTAAACCCAAGGTCTATCTAACCTCCACCCCAACCTTATACTATCATCCATATGCCTATCTAATAGCCACTTAAATGCCCCTAATGAGGCCGACTCTACTACCCTCTCCGGCAATGCATTCCACGCCCTCACCACTCTCTGAGTAAAGAGCCTACCTGTGACGTCTCCCCTATATCTGCCTCCACTCACTTTAAAACTATGCCCCCTCGTAAAGGTTACCTCCACCCTAGGAAAAAGTCTCTTAAAGAGCCATTAAAAGCAGTGCATGAACAGCCACAAAAGGAGAGATCAGCTTTTTCTTGCTTTGAACTTAGAAATCAGGAGCTTGAGAAAGAAAACAAAAAACTGAAGGATGAGGTGACAGTCCTGTAAGTTTGTTCCGTGACATCCAATAAGTGGTTCACCAAAACCAAGCTATCACCGTTGGGAAACAGAGTGACAAAAGTGATGGGTTCTCTAGCAGTGAAAGTGATAGGACTGTATATCCCTGCTACCATTTTTACGACCCCTTAAAAACAAGAAGATAAAAATAGAGAAAGTGGTAAGGCAAAGTTCAAAGGAAGGCACTGAGGTGGATGTTCCAGTAAAACGGACCTAAAAACACACTGTGCGTGGGCCTGCGACCCCTGAAAACCTAGACAGGCGATCTAAAGAAATGCCACACCCAAAGAAGGAGCCAATGAAGTCATGGGAAAGCTGAGACCGGTTAAGGGGAATATACATGGTCCATCCCTGGGACAGGGTACAGATTCTGAATGTCATTGTCAATAAAAGAGATGAACGCCTTCTCCATAAGGCAGTCAAAGATGCCCTTGGAGAGTATAAGCAGGAACTACAAGCTGGCTAGACAGCAATAAAACATTGGTTACAAGGGTATAGTCTGCCTAAGACTGATTGGATGAAAGTCACAGCTTGCTGTCAAAAAACTAGAGGAAATCCCAGAATATGAGGAAAAGTTTAGGACGACCTGGAAAGTGTATGCAGGAGTCCCAAATGTGCAGGGCAATAGAGATTTTGAAGGTTGTGATTACGGCCCGCTGAAGTCTGCTTTTGTGGCCGGACTTAAACCCGAGTTTACTAAGATGCTAAACGTCAACAAACCAGACTGGGATCAAAGGGGGACGAATTATTATGAACTGGTGGACTGAACCCACTAGCTTGACCAAGATATGGGCACCAAATTGTGAGCCCTACAGACAGGACAAATGGGACAGACCCCCATTAACCCCAGAAAGACTCAAGACAAATGCCCAGGGATGTGTTACGTCTGTGGGAAGGAAGGCAATTGGGCTAGTGGATGCTGGTGAAGGAGAAAAGGGTGAAGTCGCCCAATAAGCAATAAGGGAGAGAAGACCGATCGCCTGGTGTGGTTGAAAGAGCTAACCACCCAGCAGCAGCAGGAGCTGCTGAAGATGACAAAAAAACAGAAAGCCCGCCCTGTGCCCCTCTACACTCTTACTGGCTTTATGCCAGCAGGGGGGAGACAGATTGTACACGACCATGAGGGCAGGAGACCTGGACACTGAGTGTCTTTTGGACACAGGAGCAGAGTTGATGTGCCTAACCCAGAAGTATGAGACCAAACTTCCGCTAGATGGGACAGTGAGAACAGCTTAAAGAGCAGGAGCTGACAGGATCGAAATTAAAAGGACCAAACCCACACACATTGCATTCAGCCCCCACGAGTTAGTAACTTTTGTATGGATAGGACCTGTACCTTAGCGATTCCTCCGAATGGATATCCTCACCCAACTAAATTCATCTGTACATTTCGATGATGGACAGATAATGTGGTCCATCAGAACCCTAAAAAGGCAAGCACTAAAAGACCATCCCCATCTGGGCTAAAGACAAGGACAACTGTGGGTTATTGCAAATGGAACCTGCGACTTATACAAGGACACCTCCACCTTGCACTAAACACTACTCAAAGTCTACTGCAGAAATCCTCCTGATAATTCAGAGGTTAGAGGAAAATGGGATTTTGGTAAAAACCCACAGCACTTCTAATAGCCCAGTGTGGCCCATGAGAAAGGCAAGTGGGGAATGGAGATTAACTGTAGGTTACAGAAAAGCCGACCAATACATCGATGAAAAGGTCCCACTAGTAGCCGACCACTCTACTATATTCAGTGATTTAACACCAGACCACAAGTAGTTCTCAGTCATAGACATGGCTAACAGCTTCTGGTCAGTATGCCTAGCACCTAAAGTACTGTCATGGTTTGCCTTTTACTGCACGACAACAACAGTACACATGGACCCAACTCCCACAGGGATTCCACAACAGCCCGACTCAATACCATATGGCCTTATAAAACCACCTCCGCAAAATGGCACCAACTGAGTTAGTTATCATTCAGTATGTGGATGATATACTGATTGCTTCAGAGACAGGAAGGCAACATGAGACTGGCCTTAAGACCCTCCTAAACCACCTGCAACGAATAGGTCACAAGGCTGGTATTACAAAAAGCTCAGATCACCGAGAAAGAGATAGTCTATCTAGGACAGAAAATCTCCCACGAGAAAAGAGAAATTACCCAAAGTCGGACTGCAGCCATACAGGCTGCCAGACATCCTACGACAATTTGAGAGCCGAGGGCTTTCCTGGGTCTGTGTAACTTTAACCGATGTTTTGATTCTCATACCCAACTAGCCCAGCCCTTGACAGACATCCTGACGGGGAAACGGGATTCAAAAGAACAAATTACACTGACAAAGGAACAGGAAGGAATTTTCCAAGACCCAAACAGAGCACTTTGTCCTGCACCAGCATTGTGGATCTCCAATAATGGAAAACCCTTTACGTTATTTGTCCACGAGTAGGAGGGCTATATGACAGCGGTGCTGGCCCAGGAACACAGGGCCAGGTTGAGACCTGTTGGGTATTACTCAGGAAAATTGGACAATGTAGCCCTCGGACAGGGGGTACCATTTGAGAGCAGTGCAAGCCACGTGCATGGCAGCGGAAGTTACTGCGAGTCTAGCGTTGGATCAGAGATTAATAGTTAAATGCCCAAATGCCATACACATTTTGCTCTTTATGAACAGAGTATTCCAGGTAAATGCTGCCCGGTGGACCCAATGGACAGCAGTTCTAGAAGCCCCTAACCTACAAACAGAGAGTCCGGTCAAACCAGCCACACTATTATCAGTGCCTGCAGAAGGGGAAGGAGATGACAACGATTGTGCTGGAATCCTGCAAGAACTGGAGGACAATAACCAAATGAATGAATGGGGCTTTGCAAAACCGAGACCTCATCCTTTACAGCAACGGATCGTCTTTTGTGGAAAGTGGTATAAGGAAAGCCGGATGGGCTGTCATGGCATTGGGAAGTTGACCCTCCGGAGCATCGGCACAGCAAGCAGAATTACAGGCTCCGACTGAAGCCTGCATAATAGCAGAGGATCAGTCAGCCAACATTTACACTGATTCCCGCTATACTTCTAGAGTTTTCCAGGACTTTGGCCAACTAGGGAAACAGCGTTGGTTCCTAATGGCTGCAGGTATCCCCATCAGAAATGGGAAAGTTAAGGACTTACTGCAGTCTTTCCGGCTGCCCAAAGAAGTGGCCATGTTCACGTGCAAAGCCCACACTAAAAACAACACCACGGAAGCCCAGGGTAATGAATGCCCTGGCAGATCAGGCAGCCAAAAGAGCCACCTCCAATCAATCCTGCCAAAAGCCTCAAGTGCACGTCTGCCAGCTCGACATTGGGACAACAACTCAAATTTTGCAAACAATGCAGAATGAATGTTCCCAAGAGGAGAAATGGAAATGGATCAATAATGGACACAGGCTATGCAAAAATGGAGTTTGGAGACATTGAGAATCAAATTGGCCAGTCGCACCTGCTTTGACGCCAGATCTAGAACAACAAATCCACTCATGGGGACATTTGGGGCCTGAACAGATGACAGCCTGGTTCCAGCACAGCTGTTGGGAACAAGGTTTTTAAAAAAAAACGCCCATGCAGTAGTGGGCCGCTGCCTCACTCACCATAAGAACACTACTGAAGCCAAAGTGCAAGTTCTCCAATTGAAAGCACCAGCACCTCCAGGGCTGTTCCAGCACTTGCAAGTTCATTACTTCTCATTCCCACACTGTCAAGGTTACTCAGACGTCCTTGTAATTGTGGACAAATTTTCCACATGTGCAGAAGTTGTGCCTGCGAGAAAGGCCACAGCCAATCTCACAGCCAAAGTACTGTGCAAGGATTACATACCCTGGTGGGGCCTACCCACCAGCATTGACTCGATCCAGGGAATCCATTTCACAGGAACAGTGTGTGAAGAAGTTTGGCAGTTATTGAGAACTGACGGGAACTTTCACTGTCCCTACATTCACAGTCATCAGGGCAGGTGGAAAGAATGAATCAGAGCCTGAAACAGCAACTGGCTAAATACCACCAGGAGAGAATGCCCTGGCCCCAGGCTTTAACAATAGTTAATGCAGTGTCAGGGCTACCCTCAACAAAACAACAGGTCCGAGTCCATTTGAAATACTTACAGGTAGGCCAATGTCCCTGCCTGAGACAAATGACCTATGGAGGGCTGACTGTCATCTTATGAGTGATGCCCTTTTGTCTGCCAAGCACTAACAGATGCTGTAAGTTCTGCCTCCTCACAGGTATCGGCTGCCTGGAAGGACCCGCCGAAGGGAGGTCATGACATCATACCAGGTGAGTGGGTTCTTGCAAAAAAGATCCAAAAGGAACCCTGAGGCGCAAAGTGGGAAGGACCATAACAGCTGCTGCTGATCACCTGGTCGGCTGTCAAGGTCCGAGGAAAGGAGGGCTGGATTCACGCCTCCCACATCAAATGGACAGCCTACAATACTGCAGAACCAGAGACTGACTGACCATCATGGTGTCTACAGTCATTTTGTTCAATTATGATTATTGCAGTTTTCGTACTATCAGGATATTCAGTTGCATGCAAATAATTATCTTTATATGTCATACGCCTACACCAAAACTTCTAATCTGTCCAAGTGTTGGATATGTTCCCACGTTCCCACTCACTCTAAACAGGGAATCCCACTCTACCCTATTCCCTTCACTGAATCTGAAATGGCAGAGTTGGTATGCTTATCAAAATTTCACATCCCACCTCTCTCCAGGCCCTGGTATGTTTGCCAATGAACATAACCCAAAGGCAGGGGAACCCAGTTCTCTCATAAACATGACAGGAAGTATTGAAGCGTGGAGGTCTGTGAACCACTCCCTGATCCACTTCGCTGGGTGGTATTAGCCCGCTATGATCGTTTCCCATAATCCTCCATTCCTGGCCCTCACTAATACCTCAAATCAGGGAAGACCACAAGGGTCTGTACGTTTTGTCCACTCCTCCAAAGTGGGAGGGGGGAGGGGTCAATGGATGGGACAGAGCAATTGCTCTCGGTATTTCAACATCACAGCCTTATCCAGTTTGTTGACCAATTTTGTTAAGGGTACAAGTGGAGGCAACTCCTCCGTGCAATGGTATCCTGAGGTTATCGACCGGTTCACCACTGTAACGGCACTTATTTCATCTGTGGCCATACTGCATACCCATGGCTCCCCACCCACTGGTGAGGTTCTTGCTGTTTCACGTATGTAGTCCCATACATATATCACTCCACTAAACTGCCTAGCTGGAGACACAAGACAGCCATCTCTGAAAATCAGCGTTTCTTTGCTATTGCATTTCCTTTCTATTTTACAGCCAAACTGGCCAGAGAAGCTATAACCCTGGCTTCGGTCCTGGAAAAGGCGGGAAATAATACATTCTCTGCCCTTAGCACAATGATTGACGAAATGGTCACTATTCGCACGGTAGTTCTCCAGAACCGAATGGCCCTCGATTTTGTTTTAGCCAAGAGAGGGGGCACCTGTGGCCTGAATGGCTCCAAATGCTGCACTTATATCCCAGATAATTCGGAAAGTACTACTAATCTGGCCAACCATATTAGGAAGGAGACTGAAAAGATCTGACAATCTCCTCCTTCTACCCTATGGAGTTGGGCTACACGATGGCTGGGATCCTTAGGGACCTCCATTGTACAGGCTCTCACAATGTTTATTAGTGTTATTCTAGCTGAGTATTTTGTTTTCTCTTTTATAAAGTGCAGTTGCCAACAAGCGATTAAAAGTATGAACCATCCCAACTATGACACTTGTCTCCATAAGCCCCTCCAACATCTGAAAGACTCACACGGTACATTTGAGTTATGATGAGAATTGAGTGATTCCCTTCGAAGGGTCTCAGTAGAATCAAAAAGGGGGTGTCTGTGAGATATCGTATTATGATTCTCTTTACCAACTCACTCACAAGCACTCTACGTTAACAATACCATGTTTCCATTTATTCATTCATAACTCTGTACAAACTCACTCACAAGTGACTATACTGGATTTCCATTCACTCATTTCATAAAACCTCGTTAAACTAAATTAAACACCCCTTCCAACCCATTACTGCTTCTCAACACCTTTCACTTCTTATCAAACCATGCTGCAAGCAGCATTTAGACCCGTTTCTGTATCAAAGGCTACCTCTGAATAAGTATCAATACTGTAACCAACTCAGAACAATGCCTTCCCCACCATTGTCTCCCCATAACTCATTCGAAACTATGGAAGGGTTATCATATTAATTAGCCATCTCTCAGGACCTGAATAGGTTGCAGAACAGCAAACAGTTTCCTCCACTAGTCTGTGCTTTTTAAATACATACTAAATAGGGCAGCTACCCTTTTAAGAAACTTACTATCAAAACAATATTTCCGTGAATGAATGTGTAATAACTGTCAAAACCGGTAATAGTAAATGAAATCTCACAACCCAGTCACGGGAGATCAGTTCAATATCCTCTATAGTACACATTTTCTTTAGTACACATATAATTTCTCACTTACCTAGACCACATTGGTCGAGTATTTTTATTAACATTATTAACTTTAAAGACAAAAGGACTAACACCACTTAATTATGCAAGCTTAGACCAGACAGACATAATAATCCCATGAGGAGTAACAGCCAGCATTTAGCAAGTGCTTAAACCATCTCCTGCTTCCCCAGGACAGATGTCATGCAAACCTGTGTACAACAATAGATACAACTATGTGAAGCCATAATGCCAAAATTTTAATGTATGTAAAAACTGTGCACAGAAGAGGCTACGGTAAAACTGTACTTTACACTCCATCACCGCCTCAAACTGTGCTACTGCAGATGCTCAATGAAGAGACTATTTTCGCCACGCACCCATCTCAGTCGTTATTGAACACGATACCATACCCAGCAATACAAGACATTCGACAACAAGGTAGAACTTCTTGATCGGCACCTCACCCACTACCTTAAATATTCATTTCATCCACTATCACCACGCAGTGGCAGTTATTTGTCAAGCCTCCAAAACAGCGACTTCCAACTAGTGACTTCTAACAACTAGGAAAGCAAGAAAACAGACACATGGGAACATCATAAACCACAAGTTCACCAGCAAGTCACATATTCCTGATTTCCACAGATGGTGCCATTCCCTCAAATTCATTGGAACCCCCTTTCTAACTGCATTGTAGGTGTCCTACATACCCCAGATTGTTCAAAAAGGTGGCTCAGCATCATCTTCTCAAAGGCATTTAGAGATGGACAATAAATATTGGATTTGTCAGCAATGCCCACAGCCCATGAATTTAAGCATTCATTCATCATCTTAATCTTTTTGTAATCTGATTAACAAAATTCAAACAATGATCTTGTCATGTCCTTACCCGGCCCGCGACCTTGGTACAGCAGGTCTGTGTCACTCCAGACAACTGCTGCCTTGAAGAGCAGAACCAATCTAGACATTAAGAAATAAAATAATTATTTAAAAACTTTGTAGGCACCATTCACCAGAGGTGTCACATAGTGAATGATCACTGAACCAAAATTACAATCACAAAGGGAGAGATAGGAAATAACCGACTATAAAAAGATTCTGCACAGTTAAAGCTTCCGCCTATATATTTCAACATGTTCTGCTACTCCATATAGTTAGATCATAAGATGTAAGAGCTGTAGTAGACCATTTGGCCCATCAAATCTGCTCCATAATTCAATGAGATCCTAACTGATCTGATAACCCTCAAATGTACGTTCCAACCTTTCACCATAACCCTGGATTCCCATGTTGATCAAAAATTAGTCTATCTCGGCCTTGAATATTCTTAATGATCAGTCTCTGAAGCTCCTCTGCAGTAAAGAATTTCACAAATTCATTCTCCTCACCTCTGTCTTAAACAGGCAATACTTTGAGATTATGTCCTCAGGTTCTCGACTTTCTCAGAACCTCTCCGTACCTACCCTACAAATATTTTGAAACTGTGTAGTTGTGCACCATGTTGAACAAACTGTATCCAAATCATTAAAAAATCTAGTAGCTGTACATAATTCAAGTTTTGCACAAAGGATGCATTTCCTTTCATCCAAATCTTTGTGGACCATGTCCTAGCCTGTAACAAGCCCCAATCACCCATGACTCCTGTGACCCACATTAACTCCTTGCCATGCAATGCCTGCATTTTTAAATACTCAAGCTTCCTTTCAAATCCCGCAAAGGTCTTTCTCCTCCATGCCTTTATAATCTCTTCCAGCTCCTCAACTCTAGAAGATACATCTCTCCAATTCTAGTCTCTTGAGCAACCCAATTTTAACTGCTGACGATTTAATTGCTGATGACCATGCCTTAAGTCACTGCGTTCTAACCTTTCGCATTCCCTCCCTAAATCACTCTGCCTCTCTTCCCTCCTTTAAAATGCATCTTAAAATATACTCCAACCAACTGTTTGGTCAACTGCCCTAGCATCTTATGTGATGTAGTTCAAAACTTGTTTGATAACAGTCATGTGAATTGTCTTGAGATGTTTCGCTACATGAATGGTGCTAAATAAATACAAATTAATGCTCTTTCCTAGAAATTTACTGTAAAGAATTTTTGGCTTGGGAGTGCAGAGAGAACCTGGAGGCAGTGAAAGGAGGATGGCACAGGAGTATCTAGAAGAAAGGGATCTGGAATAATGTTTCGGAGTATCTGGAAACCATCTGAGTCTTTATCATCCATGCTGTTTTCTTTAAATTTTTATAACACTGATTCACCAACTCAGATCTAAGCTTATAAAAGAAGGGAATTAGGAGCAAGTGAAGGCCATTGAGCATCTCAAGCCTGTTCCACCATTCTAAAGATTATGGCTGATCTGATTACTCCTTACTCCTTCCCATTCCTGATAACCTTCCGCTATTGCTTATCAAAGATCTATCAACCTCTGCCTTAAAAATATTCAAGGACACTGGTTCCAGTGCTGTTAGATACATAAAAGTACAAAAATGTGTTTATAATTACAGCTTATAATTTTATAATTTGGTTTTGTAACTTGTACTTTGCATAGTTGCAACTTATAATTTGTATAATTTAACAATACTTGTAATTACAGGGGAGGTTCCATTAAATTGGAAAATAACAAGTATAACTCCTTTATTCAAAAATTGAGGGCAACAAAATTGGAAGCTATAAGCCAGAGTTAATAAATGTGGAGCTGGAAAAAAAACAGCAGGTCAGGCAGTATCCGAGGAGCAGAAAAGCCAATGTTTTGGGCTGAAATACTTCGTCAGGACTGGGGAGGGGGAGGGGAGCCCAGAAATTAACAGAGGGAGGGGGTTGGGGCTGGGGGAGGGTAGGTGAGATGGAGCTAGGTGGATGCAGGTAGAGGGTTAAAGTAATTAAGAAAGCTAATATAACGTTATCATTTATTGTGAAGAGAACGGAATACAAAAGTAAGGGGGTTATGTTTCAATTATTCAGGGCATTTGAAAGACCACATCTGCAGTACTGTGCAGAGATTGGTCTCCATATTTCGGGGAAAAAATGTTAATGCACTGGAAATAGTTTAAAGAAAACTTACTACATGAAATTGACAGCTTCTTTGTGAAGAAAAGTTGGATAGGTTGGACTCGGGTTTACAAGAATAAAAGGTAATTTGAATGAAACACACAAGATTCTGAGGTATCTTGACAGAGTGAATATGGAAAAGGCTTTTTTTCTTGTGGGAGTATCTATAATTAGGGGTAGCCTATTTAGAAATAAGGGGTGGCCTATTTGTGACAGAGGTAAGGAGAAATTCTCTCTTAATGAGGATCATTAATCTTTGGAACTCTCTTCCTTGAAAGGCAGAGATAGCAGAATTCTTAAATGTTTTTAAAGCACAGGTTGATAGATTCTGGATAAGCAAAGGGGTGAAAGGTTGCCTAGAATAGGCAGGAATATGGAGTATCAGATCAACAATGATCTTACTGAATAATGGAAAAGGCTCAAGGAGCCAATTGGCCTATTTCTGTTCCTAATTTGTTTGCATGGGCACACTAAAAGCTTTAAATAACTCTGGTAAGTTTCCCAGATCTGTGTTGAGGAGTCCGTGCTATAAAAAAATTAAAGAAAAGTTCAAGGAAATGATGAAGACTTGCATTTTACTGTTCTAAGATCCCCTTCACTAGATTCCTTCTAGATAAACCTAGCCACACTCCTTTCACTGCTTCTAGGTTCTCCCCAAATTCTCTATATCTCATAATTATTATGTATATTTCCCATTTCCCTATAATATAATTATGTTCCCCATCAGTGAATTCTGGGCATCACTAAAAAAAAGTCATAAACTTTATGAAACAGATAAAAATACATAATAATCAGGAATACTGTTTGAATATCTTCAAAAATCAAAGCACAATTTGATGCCAAAAATCTATGAATTCTTCTATAATATTTTATAATAAAAACTCTTTTGACTTAATTACCAGAAATTTTAAGATTTGGCAATACATTGTTATACATCAAAAGAAAATCATGTCTTTAGATTCATTGCAAGCAACGCAGGAGATCAATTAATACAGATGTATAATATCAATGTCGTGCCTACCACAGTACAAAGAAATCACTTACGAAAATAAAGAGTTTCTTATTGGCTTTTTGTAACCTTAAAGGGAAGCTAGACATATACAAGCAGTGAAAATCTCAGAACCTCCGTAACAACTAACTTCTAAACAACTGCAGGATCAGACTTGGCTTAGTTGTAACCCTGGACTTCAGCATGCAACTAAAGCTGACACTTATAAGCAGAACAATGGTGTACTTTTGCAGGCACCATCTTTCAAATAATACATTAAATTAGGATCACATTAGTAGTGGATGTAAAAATTCCCATGGCACGATTCGAACAGTGGAATGCCGTTGGTATCCTGATCAACAGGTATCCTGATCAACAGCTATCCTTTATCTGACTCCACCCAATTTAAATTAAATTATCTCATCATTTATCTCATTGCTATTTGTGGAAATCTCCTGTGCCTAAATCAGCTGTTGCATTTGACCGATGTAATTCACAAAAATACTTTATTGCCTCTGAAGCATTTTGGACGTGTCCTGAGCCACTTTAAATGCAAGCTAATTATTTCTTTTTTTCTATGATGTGCTTATTTTCAGCAAATACACCTCACAACCTTAAACAGAGATACCAAACCATGCAACAATGCCACTTCAGTAGCAAAATAACAGCTATGCTGTACAGCAAAATGTTTCCATCCTTATTGAGTGTTTCCTCACATACACTGCAAACAAAGTCACAGGAAATTTGCCAGTATAAATAAACAGACCAAATGATGTATGAGATTGCTGAGAAATAAATCAAGGTGGAGCTCTGACAAAAGCAGAGATTCTGTACATTGGATTAAAATTGTTGCACAACAATTCAAGGTATTGGAAATACAAGCTATGCGAAAAACTTGGGGCAATAAAGAAGTTAAATTTAAGAATTTAAGTTAAGCAGGTAAAAATATAACCTGTACCTGAACTGCTCCACTGTTCTGGACACTAGTCCAACAAGGGAAAGCCTGTACAGCTCATCTTTCGTTCATATAAGTGGTTCAGCAGGGGAGGACAAAGCTGTTAGAAACCCTTCATCACTCATGCTGGCAGGACTGCTGGAGAGTGGTAACTGATGGAATCTTCTTTTACTCAGGTGGATGAGCAGTGGAGCATTAGCTAGTGGGAATTTCCCTTCACACATGATGTTGAGTAATTTATTAACAGACCAAGAGAGTGAAGGAAAAGGAAAAATTACAGAGAGAGAGACTAAGAAACATACAAGTATGCAAAAGCTAAAGCTACGTACTATCTCATGTGCATGTGCACACATAGAAGAAACAACAGTATACTCACTGTCTGGAAGTTCAAGGAGGAACTGTACATACAGATTATCATATTCGAAACCCTGAGCTGACACTGAAAGATCAAAGTTAAAATCAGTCAAATCAACACTGAATCTGGTCAATCTCTACAAAGATATCTGGTTCCTTCATGGAGTATACCTAGATTTATAAGACACATAGCACAAAGTCTATTAGAAAATCCATTTGTTATCACTTTGTTTTAGACTCCCCAGGATTTCCCATTCCTCCAGTATTCAACTATTGCTGTACTGTTGAGTATCGGGAACAAGCAGCAAGGGTCACCTTCCATCATTTGTGAATGCTTAATCTCTAGCTACCCAAGATGACAGTCAGACTTTTCAACATTAGCATCTGAATTGTCAGAATCACAAAATCTAACATCTTTCAAAAAAAGTTGGACCTGCATTTACTGCACAGTGATGTTGCAGACAGATGAGTCATGCAGTGGTTAGAAAGCTTGTCTGCAGATCCATAAGAACTTATCTCTCGTCAGATACATATCATAAGAGGGACCACAGAGAGGAATAGGCTGGGAGGACATGGCTTATTACCAAAGGGAAGGAGATCCAACTGGGAAATGACAAATCAGCCTGCATTACCTGTTAATTTAAAAATTTATTAAAGCGTCATATGCCACATTGGGCTGGCTACTTTTTTAGAACTAATGATAGTCCTACAGCATAAAATAAGAGATCACAGGTAGTTCTTCTATAATGCAATAGTTGCACTGTGTGATCTCGTGCTACAGAAAATCGCATTATAGGGAAATCGCTATAGAAAATCACTATACCTGCACAGAACATCAAAAATCACATGACACCAGGTTATAGTCATTTATTTGAAAACATAAGCTTTCGGAGTCTTGCTCCTTCTTCAGGTGTCAGTGGCTAAGCCTGTTGGACTATAACTTGGTGTCGTGTGATTTTTGACCTGGTCCATTCACACCTGAAGAAGGATTGAGACTCCAAAAGCTTGTGTTTTCAAATAAACCTGTTGGACTATAATTTGGTGTCATGACATTTTTGACCTTGTCCAGCACCAGTCCAACACCAACACCTCCACATCACGCACAGCAGAAGGTTCACATTATCGACACAGCATCTACTATTCAACAATCACGTTACAGTTAAGTTGTGTTAACAAAACATGCGTTATAGCAGAACTTTCTGTACAGATTTTAATCATCACGAACCATCATACATCAACTGGCTGTGGCAGCATGCTGTTGGGCACCCTGCTGAATCCTAGGGGGGCTGCAAGGATTTACTGATGATTCCCACTTCACATTTGGGCGGTAATGGTCAGATCACCCCATAGGGAAGGACAGTTACCTTGTTCCCCTTGTCACAGAATTTAAAAACTATAGCTGACCGATGGTTTAATTCAAGGTAAAAATTATTTTAATTAGTCCAATCGCACACTCAATAAACTATGTGTAGCATCCTAAGCTGGAAATACAAACCCCAATTTTTACTGTGCTAAATACAATTGCCTCATGCAGTATCCTTAGACATTGTACAATGAATTGTGTAGACTATTTAGCACGTGGGTACAAGCTGAATATTTACCCATCCTGGTACTCATCAGCAACAGAAATCCAGACTGGTTTTTCTTCTCTGCTGCCAGGCATACTGACGTTTTCCAATACACCTCACTATTGCTCTGGTCATGACTAGCTAATATTGGATGTCAGTGCTGAGGCAGTATTTGGACTGTAAAGGGGAATAAACTGCAGTTGAATCTTGATTTGATGGAAAATTGAGTCTTATCTGGCAAATGGCTTTCACTTCAGATAAAAGTGGTGGTACGCATGTAGGCAAGACACCAAATATATTTATATCTCCAGAATAAAGGAATAAAAGTTTGTTGAGAATGCAAGAGATCTTGGTACAATTGCACATAATTTTCTTAAGGTTCATTATCATGCCATGAAAATATATCCAAAGCAAAAGTAGCATTACATTGCATTGCCAGAGTGATTCAGTATAACGTACGGATTTTTTTTGACAAAAGAATTATACAAGGACAAAGCTCGGATTTCCTTACATGGTGAATGATACAGGAGGCAATGGAAAAATCAACAATAAAGATTTGCGGTTTGTTTGGGCAAGAGATTCTTACATGTCAGGGTGACAGGCAGAAACTGGAATAAAAACAGAAACAGGTGGAGAAACTCAGCAGGTCTGGCAGTACCTATAGACAGAAAGCAGAGTTAATGTTTCAGGTCCAGTGACTCTTCTTCAGAACAGAATAAAAACAGGTGATTATTTAAAATTATAAAGGCCTGGAAGACTGGGATCACGTATTCAAATTGTGAAAGAGTAGGACAGGGGCTTTCTTTCCTCTCCATCTGGAATCAAAATTGGCTTGAAGGTAGGACACCAAGGGTGGTGGTGAAGGGTTGTTTTTCGGTCTGGCGGCCTGTGACCAGCGGTGTGCCGCCATGATCAGTGTTTGGTCCACTGCCTTGTCATTTGTATAAATGATTTGGATGTGAATATAGGAGGAATGGTTAGTAAGTTTGCAGATGACATCAAAATTGGTGGTGTAGTGGACAGTGAAGAAGGTTACCTCACAGTACAAGGGGACCTTGATAAGATGGGCCAATGGGTCGAGTTGTGGCTGATAGAGTTTAATTTAGATAAACGTGAGGTGTTGCAGGGCATATGCACTTAATGGTAGGGTCTTGGGAAATGTTGCCGAACAAAGAGACCTTGGGGTGCAGGTTCATAGTTCCTTGAAGCTGGAGTCGCAGGTAGACAGGGTAGTGAAGGCGGCATTTTGTATGCTTGCTCTTATTGGTCAGTACATTCAGTTTAGGATTGAGATATCATGTTGCAGTTGCACAGGACATTGATGAGGCCACTTTTGGAATACTGTGTTCAATTCTCATCTCCCTGCTATAGGAATCATGCTGTTAAACTTGAAAACATTCAGAAATGATTGACAGAGATGTTGCTGGGGTTGGAGGGTTTGAGTTGTAGGGAGAGACTGAATGGGCTGGGGCTGTTTTCCCTGGAGTGTCAGAGGCTAAGGGTTTGCAAAATCATGAGGGGCATGGATAGAGTGAATAGCCAAGGTCTTTTTCCCCAGGCTAGGAGAGTCCAAAACTTGAGGGCATATGTTTAAGGTGAGAGGGAAAAGATTTAAAAGTGACCTAAAGGGCAACGTTTTCACTCAGAGAGTGGTGCGTATATGGAATCAGCTGCCAGAGAAAGTAGAGGAGGCTGGTACAATTACAACATTTAAAAAGCTTCTGGATGGATATATGAATAGGAAGGGTTTAGAGGGATATGGGCCAAATGCTGGCAAATGGGACTAGATTAATTTAAGATATCTGATCGGCATGGACAAGTTCGACCGAAGTGTCTGTTTCCATGCTGTACAACTCCATGACTCTGTGAGCACAGTACACCTATGAAACTAATTCCTGCTCATGAGTGGGCACAGACCTTCAAAAGAGATCTAGACTAGATCTTGGTCAGGTGGAAATCACAAAATATAAAAGGAAGGGAAAATAATTGATTCAGATATCAGATAACTGATTTAAATAACAGATGTTCATCTAGATTAGAAGTGATTACCTTAGATATTTACAGAGATATTTTTCAGATTTATGTTAATCATGTTATTACATGACCCCTGGCAATGTTGCAAATAGTGGTGAAAGGAGTCGTGACCATATAGGGCAGACATGATTGTCCAGCTGATTTTCTCCTGCTGTTCATTTTTCATATGTTCATCCACTTTTGGTCAGCCCAGAAACATGCTGATTTGCATTGCTTAGTATTGGCATCAGGGATGCATTTATTTCGTGTCAACATGATCCATCATTTCCTGGGGCTTCCGAAGGTTTTTGCGACCAAGTCTTTACTAGTAAGAACATCCAGGTTTTTAAAAGCAATGCCATAATAAAACTTACCAATTTCTCCATTCACAAACAGCTGTAGAGTACCAAGGGGAGGCTGCAAGAATTAGAATGGAATGAATTTCAAAACTGAAGTTAATCACAGTATAAATATTTTCATTATGTACATCAACTATCTGTTCACCATTCCATTTCAATCTGACCATAAAATCATGCAGTGAGAGAAAAATGGTACCCCATAATGTATCAAGATGCCAGCGTGTGATTGTAATTTCCAGGTTTCTTACTGAACTGCACGTGAAGAAGAAAGAAAGCAATGAATACTCAAATAGAGATATTTCATCATGGGAATGGAAGAAGAAATAAGGGCGTAAGAAGTCGTAACTGATGAAGAACGATCTGATTCAACTGTCAAAAATGAGAAAAAGTACTTGATAGGGTAGAGAATATTTTCTCTGAAGTAGAAATCAAGAATATGGTTTTTAAAATCATGCTATTCATGGAGTGAAATAAGATTGCACATATCTCATAAACACTAACAAATACTTCTTCAGAACATTCTTAATAGAAGTCATACTGAACTCAAAATATTAACTCTGTTTCTCTCTCCACAGATACTGTCAGATCTAATGAGTTTCTCAAGCATTCTGTTTTTGTTTCAAACTTCCAGCATCCACAGTATTTTGCTTTTATTTCAGTGAAAGGCTATCAGGATTAGGCAGGAATTTGGAGCTGGGGTTACAATCAGATCAGCCTGCTACCACTACTTACTCTTCTTGTGTTCATTTGTCTGTGTGTACGTTTCAAACTGTGTTCTACAACTCCTGAGTGAAATTAGAATTCCTCTATTCTCTTCCCAGTACTTTTTCCATTCTTCTCCAAGATAGGACTCTCTTAGCAAGTCTTCTCTGTGCCATCCACTTTAATTGGCAGAGAAACAACCTATTAACCAATGGAGGACAACTTACCATCTGCCTTCCTTAAAGTTTGCTGGACCTGCATGCTGACTTTTAAACATAGAAAAAACATAAAAACTGGAAGCAGGACTAGATCATTCGGCCCTTTGAGGTTGCTCCACCATTCAATACAATCATGACTGATTCTCTATCTCAAAGCTATAATTCTACTTTCTCTCCAATCCCTCAATGCCTTTAATACCTAAAAATATATTAAACTCTTTCTTGAACATCATGAACAAACATGCCCATGTACTTTTGGGACATCAAAACTGCCCAATCTCTCTCAATCTATACTCAACCTTTCTGTTTTTGTCTACCAAACAGTATAACTTCACACCTAATTCACACTATAATCTATCCACCATGTTCTTGCCTATTCACTTAGAAATTTCCTTGCAGCCTCCTTCCATCCTCCTTAAAATGCACATTCAATCCCAGTTTTGTGTCATTATCAAATTTGGAAATATTATATTTAGTTATTACATCCCCAAATCACTGGGAACAGTTGAGGCTCAAGCACTCATCCCATGGTACCCAACTAGTAGCATTCTGCCATAATTTATTCCTACTCTCTGTTTTCTGCCTGTTGAGCAATTCTCAATCCACAGCAGTACATTAACCAAATCCCATGTATTCTAATTATATTTGCTAACCTTCTGAGTTGGATCATATCTAAAGCTTTCTGGAAATCCAAATAAACTACACCAACTGCTTCCTTTTCATCAATGTCACAAGAGACATCTCGAAAAATTCAGCAGGTTTGTCAAACCTGATTCCCTTTTCATAAATCCATGTTGATTCTACAGAATCAAATGAGCATATTTAAGTGTCTAGTTATTACATCTTTTAGAATGAATTAGAACATTTTCCCTATGACTGGTGTCAAACTAACAGATCTGTAGTTCTCAGTTTCTTCTCTCCTTCCCTTCTTAAGTAGCGGAGTTACAGTTGTTATTTGCCATGCTGCAGAAATGTTTCCACAATCCAGAGAATTTTGAAAAATAACCACCAAGGCAGCTACTATGTCTACGTATTGTTCAATATTCTGGGATGAAGTTCATCTGGTCAAGGGATTTTATCAAACTTCACAAATTAATTTTTCCAAGTACCACCTCTTCATTCATTCTAATTTCTTTCAGGGCTTCACTTTCACATTTTTTGGGAGATTTTCTATATCTTCTTCCATAAAGATAAAGATTGATTGTTAGCTTCTCCATTATTTTCCATCATAAATTTGCCTGTCTCTGCCTGTAATTGATCCACATTTGTCCTTGTTGATTATTAACTCTTGACACATGTAAAGAAGCTTTTATAGTCCGGCTTATATTACTCACTGGTATGGATTATTTTCCCTTTCATTATCAATTCATTGGTCATACTTTTCTGGATTCTAATTTTTTTCTGATCCTCAGACTTACCGCTTTTACTAGCATCACTATAAGCCACTTCTTTTGACCTATGCAATCTTGACTTAGCTATAGTTGATTCACCTTTACAATAATGTCTTTGTATCTTAAATTTGCATTGGAAACCATGTAATACTTCATTAAATACTAGCCAAGTTACTGTTAAATCTACTGTTAAATCTTTTAATGTATGTTACTAATCCACCATTGCCATATTCTCTTATATATCTTCAATTTTCTTTGTGCAGAATTCTGACTCTAGTTTCAGAATGAACTACATATCATTTTCAAATTTAGGATAAAACTGTCATATTATGGTCATTATTTCCTCATTGCTCCTTTATAGCTTGGTTATTAGTTAGCCTTTACTCATTACACATTATTAAGTCTAAAATATTCAAAACTCTAGTTGATTCCTTAATGTGTCGCTCCAGAAATCCATCTTGTACACATTTCAGGAATTCATCTTTCACTGCACTAGTGTTGATTATTTTACCCAATTTTTATATAAATTAAAATCACCTATTATTACTGATCCTTGCACTGGGATGAAGACAACAGCAGCATCTTGGTATCAGACAGAAACACAGGCTAGAGAGCCAAATGGCTTACCCCTTTTCCCAAATACACTTAAGCTATTGGAAAAGTGACATATGAACAGCATCTGTGTTACCTGCTAATGAGACAGCAACAGTGAAGCTGATTTGATAGCAAAAAAAATGGCAAGTGCTCTTTGGAAATACTAGTCAGCACAAACAATATTTCAACTTTAGCCTCAAAGAAATTACGCTTGCAGCCGAGTGCAATGGTCAGCTTCATGCCAATTCTGGTTGAATTATGTGTAACTCTACGGCGCAGACTTGCTCGTATTGGGAATCTGCCTATTTGAAAAAGATCCTTGCAGCCAATACATCATATCTAAATAAATATAAATGTCATGCTCCTCCTTGAAAACTGAAGCTAAAAGGGAAAAACAAAACTTACTGTTTCAAATTCTTCTCCAACCAAACTATGAAGGTAATCCTTGTGTCTGTTGTACAGCTGTCAGCAAGAAAGGCAAGAACTGAATTATCAAGACTTAAAATTGAATAAAAGGCAATACAAATTAAATACACAGTTAAAGATGAGAATCTGCGTCTCTATCATTGCTTGATCATCACCAAGGCTATTAGTATAGTGTATCTTAAACAAGACTTTATACTCAGTCAAGTTCCTTATGTTTGTTGTACACAGGCTGAGCATGGAACATGAGACAGAACTTTTTATTGGGTAATTTAGTAAAGAATAAAAGTACTGAGCATCAACCATCACAAGGGCTGGAACAAGCAAACTGGTAAATTGAGATTCATATACATTGGATAATGCTCAATTTGGATTTTAAAAGATTACAGAAGGAACAGAGGATTGAACAAGTGAGGAGTATTCAGGGCTGGATCAAGCGATTTGGAGGATCCCCTTAACTGACTCTACATCTCAAAGTATTTAAGATTGTAGTCATAGGAGTATTTAAAGATAAATCTCTAAAATCCCTAAATATAGAGATGAAAAAGAAAAGATGCAACAGAAAAGCTGAAGAACAAGTTAATTTTTTACTTCTAATCTTTTTCAGAACATCATTCTTAGGCATGAAAACATTTCTGAAAAACTTGGAATTTACAGAGCCATTGAATAGAAATGTGCTTGACCGGAACAAAAAGCAGAAAACTTCATGGAAGTAACATTAAAAAAAATGCAAGCTGTCTGTTAAAACCATGGCAACAATGAGGAAACAAACCATACACAAAGATGTGAGACAGAAGTTAGGCTTGGAGAAACAAATAAGAGGTGACTTGTTAGAACTTATATAAATAGATAAAGTGAGAATGTTAGGAAGATAAACAGGTACTGAAGCAATCACTTCGGCACAGAATACCTGCTTAGTTCAGTCTGACATGGGCTGGAAAAGCACTATTTACTCTGCTCCTGTAAGGAGTCTACAGGAGAAAAATAAAATGTTGCTGCCTAGAGAACGCTACACAGGAGCAGAATATATAGCACCTCCACTTGGGATGTCACGAAAACAGTAAACAGACTACCTCCTTGCAATTCAAATTCATTCTAGGTTGTTTCTTCACCATCCATGGGTCATGACTTGCTGTCTGTTTTGTAGAGTGCTGTATTAGGTAAACTCATGATACTGTGACACCAGAAAAATGCAACACACTTTATAGTGATGTGTTCTTTGTAGTAATCTTGCAACTGGATGTCTAGCTATTCATTTAATGAGCTTGAGACATCAAGTGACAATGACCATAAGAAATAGGAACAAAAGTATGCCATTCGGACACACGAGCTGCTTCACTATTCACTAAGATCATGGCTTATCCAACACTCCTCACGCCTATTTTCCTGCCCTTTCCCCATAACCCTTGATTCCCCTACAGACCAAGATCGGCCTGTCTCAGACTTATGGAGTCTGCCCCCATACTCTCTGCAGCATGAGTTCCAAAGACACTCAACCCTCTGAGATAAGAAATTCCTCCTCAACTCAGACTTAAATTGGCAGCCCTTTATCCTGAGCCCTCTGGTCTTAGTATCTCCCACGAGCAGAAGTGTCCTCTCAGCATTTACCCTGTTAAACCCCTTAAGAAATATTGTATGTTTCAATGAGAGCACATCTCATTCTTCTAACTTCCAATGAGTGGGGTCCCAACCAGTTCAAACTTTGTTTGTAAGACAATCCGTCCACACCGGGGATCCTTATGGACCCTCTCTGAAATACCTTCAATGAAATAATATCTTTTCCTTAAATAAGGGGACTGAAACTGCTCACAGTACTCCAGACGTTAGGTACCTCTTCCAATAGACATAAGTGGACAGGCTCAAAATTGAAGAAGGATCACATGTGTAAGGTACACATGGGTGGTTGTGTCATTCTGTCATACCTTGTTTTGCCTTAGTGCATTGAGAGAGATGAGAAGACATGCAATAATGTTTTCTTACTGGCCTTTTCAACACAAGATGGAGAAACATCAATTCTAACCAACAATGTAATTCAACAGCTACATGCAGCCTAGGTTAGCCTGAAGAAAATTAGCATCAACTCACTAAGAAAAGCAATCTTTCCTTACATCTTTGAAGAGATGTTTCTCCCTTTCCTGATCTTCCTTCTGGACTGTGACAGATGCGTTATTAATTGTGTACAGCCATAGATCTTTCTTCTCTCCTTCAGTCTCAATTCTATTCACAGCCAGGATGGAGAACGCCAGAAATAAGAACCAAAGGGTAAAAATGGAAATTCTGTTACAGGTCTATCCGATAAACAGTCAGAATCAGTTCTGGAGGAGAAAATCTAACAAAAATTATAAGATTTCAAAAATACCAGTAACGCACAATTGGACAATCAGCATCTGAATGAGGAAAGTTAATGTTTCAGATAGAATTTATGAAAAGACAATGGTTGCCTTTATAGAAAGAATGAATGAAGACTTGCATTTATATAGCACCTTTTACAATTATACACTTTATACTCAATTAAGATTTTTTTAAAAAAAGGAATGACATTAATATAAAGCAGGACACGCTGAAACCAATTTGCAACAGCATGGTCCCATTAATAGCAATGTGAAAAAGACCAGATACTCTGATATTGACTGAACTATAAATATTGCTCAGGACACCAGAGATAAAACTTTTTCACTTCTTTGAAACAGTGCCATTGAATCTTTTATGTTTCCCTATGGGAACCCTGATGGGAGCTCTTCGTACTGCACAGGAGTATCGGATTAGATTGCTGTCCTGTGGTACTGAAAATGGGACCTGAACCCACAACCTCTGATTTAAAAGCAAAACTGTTACCAACTGAGCCACAATGGAGACTTAATGTAAATAGCAAAGGATAATTTATAGCAAAGGTGTCAATATATATGTAATTTAAATTCCATTTTCCAACACAGGGATCTCATAGCATTGATATTAACAAGTTGTGGTGGGCTGATTCAGGATTTATCAAGCAGTGTGATGTGTCTTCAGGAGTGCAGAAATAGCCTTGCTAAACAGGACGTATCAAAAATTTGGAATGGCCAAATTCAACTGCATATCTTAACCTTCAAGGTCAGGGTCACAGCTAAGATACCCTGGTTATAAAAAGGTGACATACCAGGCACTGTGCCCATTTCTGTTTTCTCTTTATCTTCTCCATTCCCCATGTACTTTAACTTCAATCCAATATTTCACACCCATTGTTGAACTGATGCCTGCAAAACTAATTCATCACTGGACTCTTCACCTCCACCAACTGCCTGCCATTCCCTTCAAATTAATCCTGTAAAAGAAGCATCTTTCTCAGCCTAATTGTTAATCAAAAGTGGCACTGTCTCCACCCATATGTTAACTTGTTACTTTTAAACACAATGACCTCTGTATTTTCAATGTTTTAGCTTCCAGTTTAGATTTTAATGTAAGGCATATTTTCTCAATGGTGAGGCACAGAAATGTTGTGGGGGATCAAAGAGATACGGTTGTCTGCACGCATTGAAATCTGCAGTGAACAAATATAAAGAGTAATCAAAAAAATGCTACTGGAATGTTGGCTTTTATTTCAAGGAAGTTTACAAAATACAAGTGAGCAAGTTATGCTTCAGCTGTAGAGAGCCATGATCTGATCCCATCTGAAGTACAGGGATAAGCTCTGGGCAAGACATCTCAGAACGGAGAGAGTCGTCTTAGAAGGAGTTCAGCAAAGATCCACCAGCATACATCAGGGCTTAAAGAATTATATTTTGGAGAAGAGTTCCATACACTTGGATTGTAGCCCTTTAATATTAGAAGCAGAAAAATAATGTTGACTCAACAGATTCAACAGGGTACATTTGGATCAGCGAACCCAGAAGGGAGGGGGTGACCTGGGCCAAGAATTCATGCAGAGAAAGTACATCACTGAGATAGCTTCCAAGTGTCTCAAACTCTAACGAGCTGCAAAAATATCTTGCAATACAGACTGTGAGAAGCGCAGCAGCCATTGATTACTGTCTTAATACTCAGAGGTATCAGAATATAATACTTGCCTGTAGGCCGGTTTGGAGCCACTGAAGTCAGGTTTTATGGAGAGAACTCCATTGTTGTCCATTTTAATGGTGCACAATACATACTCATCCTCACGCTTACCCAGCCTGGGCAAACAGAACAAAATTAATTATTAAAACTGAAATCAATGTCACCAACTTCAGTCTGGAAAGATTTTGACTCAAAGATGGAATATTTACTTTCCATATGGCCCCAAGTCTCCCATAATATACATGGTTTGCACAGGATTATTCAAGACATGATTATTCCTCACAAACTCCTCAGTTGGCTCCCAGGTGATGATCCGTGACCTTGGAATCTTCCCTTCCCTAAATGTCAGCATAAAGATATAACATCAATGTAAAGGCATTTCAGTTTGTTTCCCACATCAAGAGCATGATCCAGGTTCAATTCCTGGTTTACATTAAGGTAGCTAGTCCCACCCACATATAGAAAATTGAAGTCTCTCCTCTCTGGAACGACCACGCAATGAGTTACATACTGGCTTTTCATAGCCAGAAATGGTTCCAAAAAAGTGGAGATTAAGGCCTTATCTGGATTATAGGAAGTCCAATAAGAAATGATCTTGGGCTCTTTTATTTCAGTTCTTAGTATACATGAGCTTATAATATTACCTGATTTGCTAGGTTCCTAGCTTTGTATGAGTTTGGCAATTCAAGAATATTCATCACACTCCTAACTTGTACTTTGCAGATGGTGGGCAGGCTTTGGGGAGTCCGGTGGTGAATTACTTGCTGCACGATTCCTAACCTCTGACTCGCTCTTGTGGCTAATTCCAATTGAATTTCTGATCAAAGTTAACCCCCAGGATGCTGGTAGTGGGCGATTCAGTGATGGGAGTGCCATTAAATGTCAAGGAGTGGTGTTTAGATTCTTCCTTGTTGGATGTGGTCATTGCTTGGCACGTGTGGAATGCATGTTACTTGCTACTTGTCAACCCAAGCCTGGTCATTGCCTGGATCTTGTGGCATTTGTGTGTAGACTGCTTCAGTATGAGAGAAGTTGCAAATGGTGCTGAAAATTGTGCAATCATCAGTGAATGTTGCCACTTCTGATCTTCTGATGGAGGGGCTGTCAGTAGTGAAACAGTTGAAGATGATTGGGCCAAGAACACTGCTCTGAACAACTCCTGCTGAGATGTCCTGGAACTGAGATGATTGATCTCCAACAACCACAACCATCTTCCTTTGTGCTGTGTATGACTCTCTCCAGCAGAGAGTTTTCCCCTTGATTCACCACACAAGTGCTATATTGTTTGCATTCATATTTTCTGAGAGTGCAATTTTTTTTCTTTATTCACTAATGGGATGAGGGCATCATTGGCTAGGCAGCATTTACTGCCCATTCCTAATTGCCCAGAGAGCAGTTCAGAGTCAACCACATTGCTGTGGGTCTGGAGTCACACGTAGGCCAGTTGGCTTTTCCCTTCCCTAAAGGACATTAGTGAACCAGATGGGTATTTCCGACAATCGACAATGGATTCATGGTCATCATTAGATTCTTAATTCCAGATATTTTATTGAATTCAAATTCCACCATCTGCTGTGGTAGGATTCGAACCCAGATCTCCAGAACGTTATCTGGGTCTCTGGATTAACAGTCCAGCGATAATACCACTAGGCCATTGCCTCCCTATGTTTCAAAACCACTCCACTTCCACTAACATCTGACTCGCTCTTGTAGCTACAGTATTTGCGTGGCTAATACCAATTGAATTTCTGATCAAAGTTAACCCCCAGGATGCTGGTAATGGGCGATTCAGTGATGGGAATGCCATTAAACGTCAAGGAGTGGTGTTTAGATTCTTCCTTGTTGGATGTGGTTAGATCCAAATAAAACCTCAAAACAATTGGAGCAAAATGCTGAGCATTTTACAGAGCTGGTACACGGTACTCCATATTTTAAGAGGGACATTTTCCTAGGGTGGAGGTGGCTATTACAAGGGGGCATAGTTTTTAAAGTGAGTGGAGGTAGATATAGAGGAGACGTCAAAGGTAGGTTCTTTACTCAGAGAGTGGTAGGGGCGTGGAATGCATTGCCGGAGAGGGTAGTGGAGTCGGCCTCATTAGGGGCATTTAAGCAGCTATTAGATAGGCATATGGATGATAGTATAAAGGTAGGGGTGGAGGTTAGATAGACCTTAGGTTTAGGGTAAAAGTTCGGCACAACATCTCAACATTTCCACTGCTTTATCAAATAAATACTTGCCATCTCTTCACTTACATCATTCTGCGCTCCTGCCTCCTCCGCCGAACGTGAGACATCCTTTCCGCCAGATATGATGGAGTCTCCTTTGCTGATGTGGTCGTAGACTGAGAATACTGGAAAACAGGATACACATTTACTACCAACAGCTGGCACAACTTCAGTTCATTCCGTATTTACATACCTCTGTAGCCAGTGTCACACTGTCACTTGGAGAATGCTATAACAGTCACCAGCTTCTCTATTTCTTAGCCAGCCACAATACCTGGTGTAGAATGTTAAAAGGAAAGGTTTCTACCGATCTCTTTGGGTCAATGACCCGCTTGCTCTAGTATTAAAAGGCCGATGGAAGCAGATTCAATAGTAACTTTCAAAGGGAATGAGATACATGCTTGAAAAGCAAAAAAAACTCTCAGGAGCAGGGATGTATGAGTAATTGGATAATTCCTGTAAACAGCTGGGCAGACACAATGAGCTGAATGGGTTTCTTCTAGACTGTGTGAAACTATCATTCTCCTGTATCTATTCAACGGACAACATTCTAGATTTGAATCACAGTAGCTGATCTTAGAAATTTATCTCGGTGTACCGGGATCAAAAAGCAGAAAAAAATAGCTAATATCTCCTGCTGGTAGTTGAGTGTGAATTCTGTGCTAGAAAAGTACTGGCCTTGACTTCGATGGCCCTGGATAAATATCATACCAACACTTTAAAGTTTTGGCAAAGATCTGTAGCTCGGGTAGTGGATGAGGTTGTTGACTTGTTTGCGGAGCTGGCTTGTTCTCGTTCAGACGTTTCGTCGCTGTGCTAGGGGACATCATCAGTGGAGCCTCCAATGAAGCGATGTTATTCTATTCCACTTGGAATTTATACTGTCCGGTCCATTATGGTGAGAGCTATCATTTCCGGTTTTGATCTGTATGGGTTTGTTTATGGGGTCCAATTCTATATACATCGGACAGACAGGAAGGAAACTAGCCATCAGAATACACGAACATCATCCAGCAAAACGGCACAACAAATTTTCCTTAATATTAGTACATTCAGGCAATGAAGGCCATCAATTTAACTGGGACAAAGAAACCATAATAGCCCAAGCCAACATAGACACACGGGAATTAGAGGCATGGTTCTCCACCAATACTACAATCAACAAACATATAGAATTGGACCCCATATACAAATCCATACAGATCAAAACCAGAAATGACAGTTCATCGGAGGCTCCACTGATGATGTCACCTAGCATAGTGACAAAACCTCTGAACAAAAACAAGCCAACTCGGCCAGCAAGTCAACAACCTCATCATACCAACACATTATGAAGGCTTACACATCAAAAAGCACTTGGCTAATGCATTAGAAATAGAAGAAGTGTCTCTGTAAAAAGTGCATAAAACAGCAACACACCTCTGCATACAGAAGAATGAAAAGTGGTGCTTATCTTCCTATTAAAATCAGTATGTCCCATCATCTTTCCAATAAATGGACTTAAATCTGCAATACCAATAGGAGTTTTGGTGTTAACTATATTATAAAGTTGTGAAGAGTACGCATGAATTAGAAGGCAGGATGCTAAAATATGTTTGTAAAAATAATGAGGAAGAAAGAAATAGTGTTTTTCTAAACTTGGAGATTTAAACAGAAAATGTCTGCATGCAGCAGCAGCACAGAGAGTTCATGAATTGAAAGTGTGTATCAAAGGGTTATACTATTAGCAGGTAAAGTTGCATTTTTACCAAGAACGACAGGTTTTTGAATTTAGCCAGTTAATTTAAACCAGGCCCTAGGTACTGAAAGGCAAATGAATTTAAATCTGATGGTGTTGACAACCTGGGATCAATCCTGGTTTAAGAAATGGACAGTTCATCAAGAGTATTAAAAAAATGGCATTTAGAAAATCAGCAGAGAGCCAACTGCCAACTGCCAACTGAAACGAAAGCAAATCTGCCACCTGAGACATAAACCTGCTTTCACACAGCATTATTAAGCTCTCTAAAAAGCCCCAAAGTTACCACGGCATTTTTAGTTCAAAGTCCTCACCGAAGAAATTAGAACAGCAGAAACAGAAAACACTCCTGACAGATGATCAACAAAGACAACGGAACTTTCCAGAAGATACATTCACGTGAACTTGGAGAAATTAAAGTTTTAATTTATGAGCAAAAACAAAGTTGCTGGAAAAGCTCAGCAGGTCTGGCAGCATCTGTGAAGGAAAAAACAGAGTTAACATCTCAGGTCCGGTGACCCTTCCTCAGAACCCTTCCTGTTCTGAAGAAGGGTCATCGGACCTGAAATGTTAACTCTGTTTTTCCTTCACAGGTGCTGCCAGACCTGCTGAGCTT